GGAGGGAGGAGGGTGAAAGGGATAATTCGGTACATGTGTGTGGTGATGGGTTGTAATTAGTATTTGGGTGGTGAACATGATGTAATCCATGCAGAAATAGAAGTACAATGATGTACACCTGAAATTTTTACAATGTTATAAATCAATGTTACTGCAATAAACAAAAAATTAAAAAAAAAAAAAGATACACCAGGTGGGTCCCTACTGCTAATTGTGGCTGACACTGATGGAGCTGCTTCCATGGGCTGCGTGTCCAATCCATTACCTGAGTCTCTCCTGATAGGTAGGTGTTAAATTGAAGCTCATTTCAGCAAAAGTAACTCTGCTAAGTTCACACAGTTTATAGATGGCAAAGCGGGTCAATATGACTCCCAAATCCATGCTCTTTCTACCATGTCACTCTGGCTAATTCTTTGGAATAACAGGACTCCTGTTACTGTTGCATTTCTCTAAAATGCAAGAACCTCCAAGAGAATTACCTCCATTGAGTGGTCAGTTTACAAACAAATGGCTTTTCTTACACTTTGGTGGTCTAGCTTTCTCCAGCCTAATTGCCTGCTGATCCTCCATCTGTACCCTCTGCCTAGGGCAAATCTAAACTCACTCCCTCCTCTCCAGAACTGCACAGGAATTTCACCTTTTCTCCATCTCTTACAGAGCAATTCAGCCTTCCCCCATCCTACCACAAAACCTGAATTGCGAAACCTATCAATCAACTCAAGGGAACAAAGGAGCCTTCTAAGAAAATCCACTCTTTAGAGAGGCCTTAGGGTAATTGTAGCAAACAGTGCTAGCAACTTACCCAATATCTGTCCTCTTTTCTTCCTTATGAAGAGGATTCTTTTTGTTTGGCAGGAATGTGCCCAGCTATAAAGCTGTATTTCCCAGCCTCCCTTGCAGCTAGAGTTGTCCATGTGGCCACAAGAAATAGTTCCTCCTTAACAGCCACTTTGTTTAGGTGAATGGTCCCACTCCCAGCTCCATGAATTGATTAGAATTTTCTTCCCCTACCCAATGTTCCTTCTCCCTTACCAATAGACTCCTACTTCTTGGAGCTGCAATGTGCCCAGATGAAAAAGCTACACTTCCCAGATCTCTTGGGGGGTGGGCTGGGTACAAGCCAGTTTTGGCCACGCCTTCCTGGATGGGCCTTCCTGGAAGGTCACTTAGAAGGGGCAGCTGGCATGTACTCTTTTGCCCATGGTTCTTCCTCCTTCCTACCATTTGGAATGCGGTCCTGATGGTTGGAATACCACTAGCACCTGGATGAGGGCCTCACCCTAGGAGGGAAGAGCAGAAACCAAAAGGAGCCCAAGGGCCTGATGACATCACACAGCCATCACCCCAGTCCTGGGATGCCTACCTCCAGACCTCTTTTTATGTGAGACAAAAATGAACTCCCATCATGTTCCAGCTCTAGGTGTTTGGATTTCCTGTGACATGCAACTTAACTTCTACATTTACTACAGTGATTGATTCAGCCAATTTAATGAGTGGAGCTTAGGACTTTTGTTTGATGGTGGTAGGAGGAAACACAATTTTTTGATCCCACCTTATCACCCAACCCACAATGTGGGCAGATGGCTGCTGGCAGATATCTAGAGCTGTGGTTCTCAAAGTGTGGTTACTGGATTGGTGGCGGCGGCGGCAGCAGCAACAGCAGCTGGAAACTTGTTGGAAATGCAACTTCTCAGCCCCTATCCCAGATCTACTGAATTACCAATCTGTTTTAATAACCCTGCAGGTGATTCTGAGATCTTAAAGTTTGAAAACCACTGATTTACAGAGATCTATGGAGAAAAAGAGCCAGAGCCGTGATCAAATCACGCCTGAACTACACCTCTGGACTGCCTCAGTTATGTAAGCAAATAAATACCCTTTATTTTTGTTAAAACTAGTTTGAGCTGGAGTTTCTGTTACTTGAACCTGAAAACATTCCCACAGTTGCTGCCTCGTGGACACTATGCATACAGGGCACAAAATACTACCCAGAAATATTTTGTTCCATGTACATTTGAGAGACAGATGCGAGTAGAAATCACATCAACACCACCTGCCCTTAAATCAAAAGAGACACTTGATTAGCAGATTTAAAGCCTTAGCCAGGCAAGATTTCCAGAGGATTCATCTAAATATGCAAAATCTTTGTGTTTGCTTGGAGATTAAAAATGAATGTCTAATTTAGAAGAGCACACACACTGCATGTATTTTATACCGTACTGCATTGCTCACAAGCGAGTATCTAGAAACCCAATGTCTCTTGCTTTGCTCCCACCCCCTGCATACAGCAGGCCTACTCCCCTCAGCCAAAACAGGATCACTTCTCTTCTTTCAGGCAGAAGATGACATTCACCTGGGTTCACCTTCTCTTCCCCAGACCCAAAATAGGGTCTCTCCTGCTCATGCCCTTCTCAGTAGCAGCTGCCCACACACTCCAGGTGCTTAAATGTTTGATCAGACTCCAGTGCTCTGTTCCTCCCCACTCAGTGGAGGGCAAGGCTGGGCTTCCACTAACCGGATGAAGCTGGAGTGGGAAAAGCTGGCTCCTGAATACTGGCTCAAGAGTAACAGAAGAAACTCTAGTTTCTTGTGGAGTGCAAAGCTAAGTGCACAGCTGGGCACCTGAAAAACCACAGCAAGTGACCATCTCCTGCTTATGGAGTGCTTGCTAGATGCCTGTGTCGTGCTGAGTATTTACATTACCACCTATGACGTAGGAGATGTCAATATTCCCACCAGGAAACTGAGGCTCACAGAACTTAAGTAACTTGCCCAAAGTCACTCGTTTAAAAAGTTGCAGAGATTTGAACCCAGGTACATCATCCAGAGTCTTCTAAGATGAAAGAGATAGAAACCCAACTCAAACCAGCTTAAGCAATAAAGGGGAAATTATTGAACTGAGTCCAGTGGCAGATCTCAGGCGTGGATGGAACCAGGTGGACAAAGTCTCTATATATCCTCTGGCTCCCTTTCCTCTGTGTTGGATACTTCTTACACAGGTCTCTCTACGTGGCAGGAAGGATAAATACTATTAGCTTTAGACCTCCTTGATACTTGGGAGTTTAAAACCTCAGAGGACGAGTTTGTTTTTCCTAATAACTGTAGTAAAAATTCAGTTCTACCAGCCTGCTGTTTGGCCAAGTTTAAGTCATATGCCCAGCCCTGAAGCAAGCACTGTAAGCAGGGGAACAGAGGACATCAACTTGGCTGGCCCAAGTCACGTGACTACCACTAAAAATAGTGAGGTACGGGGAGATGAGCATTCCTCCCCTGAATCACAGCCCAGCAGGATTAGTGCAAAATGGGGGAGAGATGGTTTCACAAGATAAGGGATATAGAGCAAGCAAATAACACCTGTTATAATCTAGTCCTTGGCTGCCCACCTTTCTTTCTACATGATTAATTTTGTAAATGCCCCCATCATGTATGTATATACTGTATTGTTGAGATATTTTTGGTTATAAGTAACAGAAAACCTAAACCCAAGTAAACGTGGCTTGATGAATAAGAACATACGTTATTTTATATATCCCAGGGGAGCTTTTCTCCCCTTGGTGAGTGGAGGGAGCTTCCAAATTGGTTGGTTCAGCAGCCTGTCTTGTCAGGAGCTGGTGGCCAGGAAAAGGAAGTAGTAGGGCTGGACCACAGGAGGGATTTCAGAAGAAAAAGCCCCCTTCCCATAGCCAGGACAAGCGAAGAAGTGCTGGAAGCCTGCCTGGGTGGGAGGTCCTTGTGCAGCTATGGCTGCCTCCTGGCCCTCTTTTGGGGAATCGCTTCACTCTGGGTGGAAAAGGGAGAACGCTGACGGCCCGTGGTCTCTGTAGAAATGGACTAAGGCTGAGGTTGCTGCAGAGGGGAAACGGCCTGGTTGGAATACTGCGCTTTATCTGTGTATTCCGGAGCAAACCCCACCCCTATCCCACGCCCTAAGAAGGGTAGCTCCATCGAGATTATACCAACATTGGCTGTCTGGGATGTATTACCTTCTGTTTACCCACATGAACTCCTGCCCCAAACTGGCGTAGTCACTGCTCCCCAACTTGAGGTTTCACCCCGCTCTGGACTTTTGCTCACGCCAGTCCCCCGCCTGAATGCTCTGCCTGCTCCCTACTCCTACCACTCGTCTTTCTCAAGGCCCAGATTCAGGCCTGCCTCCTCAGTGGAGTCTTCCCCAAGGGAGGCTTCTTAGATCGCTTTCTATTTTAGACTCCGGGGGCATCTGTTGTCTGGTTGGGAGCTGATCGTGGTATTTGCCGTACAGTTTCAGGCAGGACTTGGTTTATTGCCTTTTCAGGCAAGCTCTGCCAGAATCCCCCATTTAGGGGGCAGGCAGGAGGGTAACCGGCCAGACCATGTAAGGGTCTGGATGAGAGGTGGAGTTTGGAGCCAGCCTGGGAACATGTTCCACACGACACAACTCTTGTGCTCATAAACCATCCTCAGAAGATAAGCAGCAGCACGTAAGCGAGGGCTTATTTCTTTGGGAGGGCCCCCATGAGACAAGAAATCTTTCAGCTGCAGACTGTCGGGCACCAGGGACCCCAAGAACAGGAGCTGGACGGAGGGAGAGAGGGCGTGGTTTAGGGCTGTCAGTGAAACAGGCGATTTTGAGGCAATGGGACCAGCAGGGAGGATCTTCCAAAGTGAACTAAGGATGTCAGCTGGGGCTACGGCCCTCCGAGCGGACGCGGTGTGGACCTGGCACAAAGGCAGCGTGCTTGTGTCATACACACCCCAACTTCAGACCATCACCATGCTTTCAGTCCTTAAGCCCCTGGGGCTTAATCCCCTGTTTTCCTCTCCTCTCTCCCAGTGTGAGTCCATCCCTGGGGATCTGCCTGTGCTGCTTCCACTGACACTGCTGAGGCAGATGGCCTGGGTGTCTCCCAAACAACTTCCAGAGAACAGACAACATGTAACAGCGGGGTGTGAGGGCCACAGGGGAGGGAAAAGGGAGAGGGTAACAACAAACGAGGGAGAAAACTTGACTCACGCACACAGGCTTTTCATAAGAACTTTATTTCTCAAAAAGGGGGGAAGAATCCAAAGTATTAAAATAATCCTCTAATTTTCGTTTTGGAGGGAAAAGATAGGATAACAAAATAATTTATATAAAAATTTCAAGCATAATGGCTGCAGCAGTTACGTCGTCCTGAAACTCACACCTCCTACCTGCAGCTCCAGGTTCCAACTGCTGCAGCATGGGTAACGCCGACTCTCCTGCATCCGGAGAGGCTGCAAGCATCTGGAATGCTTATTTACATCTACTTCACAAATAAATACAAAAGGTCAATCTGCCCAGTGAAAATGATTCAGCTCATTTTTGTGATTGTCTCTGATGAAAATGCTAAAAAGAAGAGCTGTCCCTCTTCTAAAATCCTACATTGTTCCTTTTGAAGGATGACTATGAGTGAAAGAAATGAAAAGTGGAAAGACACATTAGGTATGACTGGCTCTAGTACCAACCAAATGCCAAGGGAGACTTGACCTCATTGAGGCAATAAAAGGTAAAAAGCAAACACGATTTTTCCATTGCCTTTTATGTGGGGAAACTGGACCTTTCTGTTTCTATCATTGAAAGGAATTGGACTCGGTGAAGCAAGTCCAAATCTGGAGCAATTAAGCAAAGTCTCTATCCATAGCAATTATTTTTTAACTTAAAAAAAAAAAAAGAGAGAAGAGTGAGCTGGAATACGCACATTAGCCAAGACCGATGTTACCAAACTGAGCCCAGAAGCCTCTAGGTGCACTTTCCAACAGGCAGACCCTTCCAGCAAGCGGGAGACAAGACCTGGCTCCTCCTCTGAGATTCTTAAGACATGTTTAACTGTGAAGACCTCTCGGAACATTCCGGCTCTTCTTTGAATGCTTTCAGTTGGTATTTCTCTGAGGAACAGGGAGGTTCTCGTGAAGATATTTTAAACTTCCATGCTCTGAGAAATCTGAGACCACATGGTCCTGCCCTCGCAGCAGCCACTTAGTAGTAAGGAGTCCCTCAAGTCCTACTGGTCCCCGGGCGTGGATTCGAGATGTACTGATGCCCACTTCAGCTCCTGCGAAAAAGCACAGATGAGGATGTGGCTTTCCCCAGCCTCTGCTTCCTGTCCACCCATCAGACCCACGTCTCTTCCTTCTCCTCACTTGGCACCCTCTCTCCCTGCCCACTCCTGATCCCTCCTCCCCAAGCCAGCCTGAGTTCCACTGTCTCTGTTCTCTGGTCGCTATACATCTTGGAGAGCTCCCTTCTTCTTTTTTTTTTTGTGAGGAAGAGTCACCCTGGGCTAACAGCTGTTGCCAATCTTCCTCTTCTTTTTTCTTGAGTCAGATTAGCCCTGAGCCAACATCCACACCAGTCTTCCTCCACTTTGTATGTGGGTTGCCACCACAGCATGGGTGACGAGTGGTGTAGGTCCACGCCTGGGATCTGAATCCGTGAACCTGGGCCACCAAAGGGGGGTGCGCAGAACTTAACCACTTGGCTACGGGGCCAGCCCCAAGAGCCCCCTTCTTCTAATGAAACACAATGTGTGGGCCTCGCTTTTGTATTTCATCCTCAATGCATTTTGATAACACTAGAAGTGCTCCCTGATATGTGTTTAGTATCTGGATTGTGTACCATAATTCAACATTGGGCATTTTTTGAGGTATACAACAATGATTAGCATAGAGGTCTCATCTCCCCAAATATTCTTTAAATCCTAGAAAGTAAGGGACAGGTTCTTAGTATCCCCCAGAATCTAGCATACAGGCACTCATTAGACAGTTGCTCAATACATGAAGGGGCACTGTTCATTCCCCTTCCCTCTTGCTCCAGGCTTAGGGAACATGTTCTCTGGGACATCAGGGGTTTGCCTGGGTCTGGCCCGGTGTTCTGCACTGCACACAGGGGAGGCAGGGCGCCCTGGTGCATCACAACTTCATTGAGCACGTACTATGTACAGGCACAGTGCTGGGCCCTGGGGATAAAGGGTGAATAACTGATACAAGGTCCTGTTTTTGCCGGGCTTATATTCATGTGGGCAAGGCAGCCGAAGAGTTCAGCACATAACTTCACATGGTGACTAAGTGCAGCGGAGGGAGCTGTGACAGACTGCGTGGTTCGGATGGGTACACACTGGATAGAGTGGTCAGGAAGAGCCTCCCAAGGAGGTGCCTTTCCACTGCAACCTGAACAATGAGAAGGAGCTGGCCAGGGGGAGAGGTGCTGCAGGCAGAGAGGAGAGCGAGGGCAAAGGCCTGAGCAGGGATGTGCCTGGGGTAGTGTTGGCACGGGGAGGGAGACCACCAGGTCAAATCCTGGTTCAGCAGTGAAGAGACCATAGGACTCTGGGCGCGTTATCTAACTACCTCTCATGCTTCAGTTTTTTCATCTGGAAATGAGGAAAATAACAGAATCCATTTGGTAGCACTCAGTGAGATAATGACTGTGATGCACTCAGCACAGTGCTGGGGATGCAGCAAATGCTCAATGTACATTATCTGTCACTGTTATTAACGCTTTCCCCAGGAATTTAACTCAGCTAGACCTTGTGCTTTCGCTCTGAGCTGGTGATGGAAAGATAGTGGAGGGTCTTCTGCTCTTCCTCATCTTGGACTTTCACTTGAAAGCTGGGCACCTCAGCCCTTAAAAGTATGCTGCTATTTCTTCCTCAAGAACGTGGAATACAAAGATCTGTGCAATGTGATAATTAAGTCAAAATCCAACATAACAGGAACAGGGGAATAAGAATAAAGAGTCTAATGACTAAGAATAACTGGGTAAAATTCCCTTTAATAACCTTTAACAATTCAGTGAGAACTATTTCTCCAGGCAGATCATCTAGTCAAAAGTTCAGAGGGATTAAAATGTTTTAAGTGGTTGAAATAATTCTCAGATATGTCATAAATGCCTTATTGGGGCTTTATATAATGGTACCCTGGAAAACCAGAGACCGTCTGAGAAACCCCTCAGAGAGGAGAGAAGGGTGTGTTTCTGAAGCTTTTCATTTCAGTCTGCTTTAAAAGTAAACCCTGCACCTCTGGGCTTACCTGTTCGTTTCTGGTGCTGATACTTAAGCCCAGCACAGGTACTAAGACCTTCTTTTGTTCTCATGGGGGATTCCTAGCTCTGAGGCAACCTGGCTGTATCTCTCTGAAGAAATGAGTCTGCTATGGCGGTGCTCTTGAGGGACTCTGACATGTACACCTGTCACAGCCTGTGCATGAAGACATGCTGTGGTCTGCCCATACCGTGGGGAGCTACCCCAGCTTTGGACTTGCACAAGTTTGGGTCTGAATGCCAGCTGCGTGACTTTGGGCAAGTTACTTCACTTCTTTGCATCTCAGTTTCCCCATCTGTGAATAAGGAATACCAGTACCTCCCTTCTTAACATGTGAAATGCCTAGAGCACAGGACTTCCCCCAACTCAGGGCAGCTATTACTGTTCTCTCTCATAAACCACCCTCCCATAACTCTCTCTCTATGATCTTGATCAAGCATGGAGTGAGGAGAGGCATCTCCTCCACCCTCACACTTCTTGGACCACACAGTGATTCACAAGAGACTCCTTTTTCCCCTGACCAGTCTTTCTCACCCAGTCCAAAGCGGTAGCCATCAGAGAAGCGAGTGCTGGCGTTCCAGAACACACAGGCACTATCCACGTGCTGAAGGAAGAACTCGGCTGTCTTCTCTGCAGCATAAAGTAAGAGAAGAAATCGAGTCAGGATGACTCACATAGAACACCCCTGCTTCCAGCCACTCACTGGTGGCTGACTGGGGCTGGGCCCAGGCCCCCGAGGAGCTTCCCCACATAGCAAACACGCAGATCTGTGAGAAATCTGAAGAGGAAGAAGGCGAACCCGCTTCTTCAGTCACTGTTGTGGGAAGAGTAGTTGCCTGGGAAAGACCGGGTTGGAATCCGGAGCTCCCACTGCAGACATACCCTCAGTGCTGCAATGGCCTGTCTACACTATCTATTTATAGGTTCTGCAGCCAGAATGCCTCAGTCTGAACTCCAGCTCCTCACCCACTAGATGGGTGACCTCTCTGTGCCTCAGTAAAATGGGGACCGACAATATTACCCAGCTCACAGGGTTGGGGAGAAGATAAAATGAACTGACATCCATAGAGCACTCACCCCAGAGCCTACCACATGATAAGTACTCAGTAAATGTTAGCTATTATTATTGGTGGTGTTCTGATTCTCCAATAAACTAACTGTAAATTCCTTGAGGGGGCCACATTGGCTTCCTTCTCCATCAGGCCTTCAGTGCCTCACACCAAGGCATCTCTCTCAATACGTATCTGTGGAGTGAATGAATGACTGTGGAGAGTTGGTTCTGCCCTTAACAGGTGGTTCTGGGCCTTAGTTTCCTCAGCTGTAAAATAGGTTTATTCCAACAACTGAAAAGATTATTTTATGGATTAAATGGTAACACCTCTGACACAGTGAGTCATCTTTATGTGGAGCTAATCATCCTCCCTGCCTCTTCCCACAGGGCCACTGTGACAATATAATGAGGGAAGAGATGTGAAAGCACTCAGCAAACCATCAAATGCAACCAAGACCAGGCATTTTCATTAGTCTGTTTGGTTCATGTTTTCCTGCAGGCCAAGAGGGGCTGAGAGGAACAGGACCACCTTGGAGATCAAAACAAAAAAGTAGACACCATGTGCTGGAAGCATCTGGACACTGACCATTCTCTGTGACAATGACATCCGTGTGGGAGCTGCCGTACTTGTGGATGTGGTCGATGGCCTCCTGGACGCTGTCTACCACTTCAATGCACAACTCCAGGTCCCCATACTCAGTTCGGAGGGACTTCACTTCGGAGGGGCTGAAAGTCAGATAGGAGGCGAACTTGGGGCCTGCATGAATTTTCACCTGGAACAGAGGCAGTCCAGGGGCAACAACATAAACACAACAGAAACAAGCAAGCTCACACTTCTTCCTCTAGGATCACACAGCAAGATGAGCCTGAAGATGATGAGCCTGTGGCTCCTGTGGCCTGGACAACTCAATTAGTCCCTGCCTTCCCTTTAGAGGCAGCTTCCCGCCCTCCAGGATACTCTGCTTTTGAAAAGGCTGACTGGCCACTTGCCAGCCATGGGCCGTCAGTAAATTGGAGCAGGGATTTAAGCAGGAAGCCTTCGAACATTAAGAAAGTGCAAGGCATTTAATGGGCTATCGACATAAGCCCTTAACTGCTGGCATTTTAGTTAACTGAATACCTGACTACAAAAATCTCATTCTCTGCAAAAATCTCATTCTCTGCATATGGGACCTAGGTATTGGACTCACATGGAAAGAGGGCGATGCCACATATACACTTCCACCACCTTCGCCCTGGAGAAGTCTTAGATGTGCTTCAGAGGAAAACAGTGCTTGGTTAGTAACCACCTCAAACCGTGGTTGTCAGATTTCCAACTTGGTCAGTCTGGCCCTCTGTCTATGTCCGGCTTAGCTCCAGACTCTGGGGCTAATCCTGCTCCTGGTTGGAGGAATTTAAGGATCCCAAAGCTGGTGACTAAGGGCTCCAGTCACAAGCCTGATCCCACTTAGGCCTTGTTCTCTGAGACCTCCCCAGGGCAGAGTTCATGCCTTGATTCTTTGGGACCAAGCTCTTGCCTTGGCTCAAGTTACAACGAGCAGCGTTTGTCCTGCCCTCACTGCGCCTGAGCCCTGCATGGTTTCCTACCTGGGACCCCACTTCTTCCAAGCCTCAGTCCAACCATGTTCCTCAGGCCCCAGCTCTGTTCAAGTCACCCTGCTAGTTTACCTCCTGCAATAATGCAAAGGTGCTGCATGAAGTACATATTGGCTCATTTTGACTTGAGGAATTTCAAAGCAATCCTGAGGATGACTGGGGTTTTATTCCTGACTGAAGGACAGCTTTCCTGCTGTCCAGTCCAGCCCGGTGTGGTGCTTGGCATACACAGGTGCCCAATAAAACAGGCCACTAACGTGAAGTAGGGCCCCAAACATGAGTGATCACGTGCTCTAACTCCCTTTTAACTTGTGGGGTGCATTTTCATTTTCAAAACAATCCTTTCAGGTTCTCACTGGGACCACACCACATTTATAAGCTGACTGGAGCCTTCCTGTCCAGCAAAAGGATGGAAGGGAAGAGACACATGCTCAGGGTCAAAGGAACCAAGGCCAGCAGTCACTTTCTCTACCGCTGGGCTAGTTTACATAATTCTGAAACGGTGCCATGACATCAGATATCAGAACTTAAAGCATCCTGATAGACAATTTAAGATTGTCTATTTTTACCTGGAGAGCACCTATTTTCTTGCAATTAGACATTTAGGATGGAGCATACATTTGTCTTTGAAACTTACTGGCTTTGGCTGTTTATCAACTTAATGACATGGTAAGAAAATAGTCCAGAGAGGACATTATAAAAATTGTTGACTCCTGAATATCATTGTATTAAGTACATTAATACCGGTGACTTAAGACACTTGTGGAGGAGTGGATGCATATCAATTTTTGGTTTGAAAACATTTCTGTACAATCTTTTCAAATCAAATCCAAACAGGAATGTGTGTTCAGAAACATAAACTTTAAACTATGCTGCCTGAATAAAAGGTTGCCATAAATAGTCCATGCAGTGGGCTGCCACGTGATCTGTCTTATCTTTGAACCCTCTTAGTACTTAACACATTCCACTTTGCAATGATGCCATTTGTGTACAGGTTTCTTCCATTTACTAGACTGTCAGAAGGCAAGAGCATGTCTTACTCATCTCTGTGTACTTAGCACAGAACTTTGTACATAGCAGATGCACCAAAATATTGCTTCTTAAATTGCCTTAAATGGTGTGGCAGCTGTTCCTGGTCTAATCCCACAGGCTTCTAAATCTCAAGATGGAAGAAAGTAAGAGATGTACGAGTCCTGTGGCTATGTCTTACCTGTTCCACTCTCAGCATATCAATGATCTGGTCAAATAATGGTGTTCTCAGCAGATCTCGATGGATTAACAGAGTCTCTAAAGCATTACAGGCAGCTGGATATTCGCATTTAGAATCTCTGACTGAAAGAAGCACAAACAATTGTTTCTAATGATCCAGAGCCACAGAGAACATAACAAATATTTTGCCCGTGTAAAACGGGATCCCATCCAACTCACCTAGTCTAGTGACTTTATCCACACTGGCCTCTGAATCCACATACATGTGGCAGATCCCTTCACTGTGCCCCATCACTGGAATCCCCTTAGCCGCTTTTTGGATGTCTCTGACCAGCTGGGAAGAGCCACGTGGAATGATTAGATCTATCATTTTGTCTAGGCGGCAAAGATCTTCCACTTCTTCCCTGGTATTCACCTCAAGAGGTAGAGAATAAAAAGATAAGGATGACATCTTTTCTTTGTGGGGGGGGGGTCTGACTTCTTTTAATATGAAACCTGGGGAAGATTAGGTCATGACAAAATTATACCACTCTAAATGATGAAAGTAGAGGACACATTTTCAAATTATCTAAGGAACTAACATTATTTGTCAAAAAAAAAAAACACCAAACACTGATCACGTACGTCTCTAAACGCAAAAACACGGAGATGATACACACAGACCTAATTTCTACTGTCCCAGCTTCTAGGTCCAAAATGCATCCTTAAAGGACTGTAAGAATCTCAGGACGAAAAACCAGGTTCAATTCCCTTTTGTATCCCCCGAGCCCAGTGTAATGCCTGGCATGGAGCAGACACTGAATGAATATGTGTCGAATGAATGAACGAGTGAGTGAGTGCACTAACAAATGACACAAATCCTCAGAGGAGGAAAAGCCTCCACTGGCTTTCAGAAACAAAAGGGAACGGAGTCCTGTCTCCATGCCCTAAAGAGAGTTATCTCCTTTGTGACTAAGCAGCACGGCCTCCCTAGTCTCAGAGCAGCATGCTCAATTATCAGGGAGCACTGTTTTTCTCAGGAACTGAATATACTCCACAGGAATTCTTCCAAAGATCCCCACAACATTCCAGTGAACTGAGGTTCCGGCCCAAGATGCTGACATCTGACCATGCAAAATATAGAGGAAGCAGCATCCTTTTTAGAGAAAAATGTCTGTACCTCCTGAGAACTAAATCAGACACTGTGAAAACTTATTCCAAAAACGAGATTAAGTTCCTGATCTTGGGAATCGAAAAGTCATCCCATAAATGCTCATCAAACACTACACAGTAACTGCTGTGCTCTGCATGACAAAACAGGCGGGACACACCTGGCCTCAAAGAGCTCAGAATCTAGTAGGGAAGACAGGATTGGGACACAACTAGCCATAACACAGGGCAGATAATTTTTAAAAATGCCAGAAGAGGCACAAAGTGCTATCTATGGAAGTTAGAGGAGGTACAGACTATGCAGGGCTCTGAGCAAGCATCTCAGTGGCTGCTCTGGTGGTTCTCTAATCACAGCCTTAGTGATGTGCATGCATCCTGCTAGGGAGTCACGGCTCTCCATGACTTCCACTGACAAGCTCTACCCCGGGATGCTGGTTGGACTGACTAAAGTGCTTGTGTTAGGACTGAGATTATGGGCATTTTTTTCCTCCTCTTTATTTTTAATTTCCCCCATATGGTCAAGTTACTTACAACAGAAATACCAACATACATGTTCAAGAATGTTCATAGCAACTTTATTCTGCATAGCCAAAAACTGGAAAAAACCCCTATGTTCATCAGTAGAAGAAAGGATAAACTGTATTATATGCATGTAAATGGAACACTACACGGTGATAAAAAAGAGAAAACCCCTGCTGGATGCAACGATGTGGATGAATGTCACGGATATACGATGAACAAAAGAAATACAACACCAAAGAGTGTATTGAATGTAACTCCATTTATATGAAGTTCAAGAATAAGCCAAAGAAACTGAACGTGAAAGAAGTAAAACAAGTGGTTACCTGGTGGTAGGGTGGGACATGTTGACTGGGATGGGCAAAGGGAGCCTGTGGGGGTGTTGGAAACGTTCTGTATCTTGATACGGCTAGTGGTTATATATGTGTGCATATATATGGACAAAGTGATAGAGTTGTTCACACAAGATTTGTATATTTTACTGTATGTATGTTAAACATCAATAGGAAGAAGGGGTGGGAGGAAACCCTGCTAAGCTAGGATGTGGCAAAGCTGGAATTTGAATCCCTAAAATCTACTCTTTCCACCCACTGTGTTGCCATAAGAAAAAACCCAATTCTCGTCAGTGAGCATCTAATGCAGCAGGTTTGTAGACACTACCCCAGCAGCTAACAAAATCCTACAATGTTGGAGTGAGTGGGCCTCAATGGGAAAGAGAAGCACCTGGAGTAAACCTGGGTCCAAATCCAAACTCTACCAGACTGTGTGATTTTAAGTGAGTTACTTTACTTGTGAGCCTGTTTTTTTCGATCCATAAAATAGGGCTAATAATTAATAGTATTTTCTTCAAAGGCTTGTTGTGAAGCTTAAAAAGAGATAATGGATGAAAACTGCCTTGCCCATAGTAGGTGCTCAACAAATTACAGCTATTGCTGTCTAGCTCAAAAACTCCATTGATAGTTGAGGATAGTGCGACAATGGTTAAAATAATGACCATAATACTAATAGTGATAATGGCATGACCTCATACTTATATGCTGCATGATGGTTTATGACAAACGTTCATATAATTTATCTCATCTGACTTGCCCTAAATCATTCTGTCAGTGAGCAGAACCAGGCCCCATACTCTCGGTCTGATATTCCTGCTGCCCTGTGACCCAAGGAAGGAAAGGCTAACAGGCATTCTTGTAAATCAATAGTGCCAGGACACAGCTGAATGACAGTGGCCTTCCTGAGCCACTGAAGACTTATCTGGGCCAAGGAAGCCCTAGCACTGTCCAATGTAAGGAGGCACACAGGACCTGTCACCGCTCCAATCAAGCCTGCCCCTAAAAGTGGCTCGCCTTATGTGGCCTAAGCTTTGCTTCAAATACCCAAAGACCTGACCCGGCCCCTCTGGGCCTGACTTGGGATCATTCCCAAGTACCTACCAGTTGTACAGCTTCCTTCACTCCATGAATAGAGAGGGCCTCCTGGGTTAGGAGGTGGAGAATCCGGTTGCTGTGTGCGGCCTCCTTCCCTCCTTTGAGTAACAAGCCATTACCACTTGCAATAGCCAAGGCTGCCACCTGCCAATCAAAGGGGAAAGCAGTGACCAAAGGGGAAAGCAGTAATGGTAACAGTAAGCCGGCACTCACTGAGCACTTTCTCTGTGCCAAGCACTGTGTTCATCACTTTACAATGCCTAATCTGTTGAGTCTTCACAATGTTCCAGGGAATTAAGTACTATTGTATCCACCACTTTACAGATAAGGACATTGAAGCCCAGAGAAGTTGGTGACTTCCCATTATCACAGAGCTTATAAGTGGCAGGACTGGGAGCCTTGACTCCAGAGCCAAACCACTCGTATCTTAGGAACTAAACTATGCGGTTTCCTTAGCACCAGTAGCAAAATAACCTGAGTTAAGTGGCCCGCGTCACACAGCCCCCTCCCCACTCTGGCCATGGTGGAGGACAGGGTGCTCAGCTGCCTCCTGATTCAAGCGCTTGCTCCACTGACTCAGGCTGAGGCTGGGTGGCATCTCTGGTCACATCCTACTCTGGCTGTGCAGCTGTTCCGAGAGCTCTAAATGCCCGGTGCTGAGAACCTGGAGAAGACTAGAGCTCCTGCCAGCCCCTGAACAGCTGTGGCAGAGACTGCTGGGAAAGGAGCATAAGACTGTTTGGGGAAGAAAAAGTAGGCCACCCAGGAGGAGGGTTAGTTACCCTCTTAGAGCAAAGAGCTAATGATACTGACCTGATCATCCAAGGCCTGAAGCTTAACTTTCTGAATGCTCCTGGCATGAATGAAAACCCTCCCATTTTTATAACACAGTGAAAGACACTTTACTAAAAAACCTTGCCCGAACACGTTAATCTCCAGATTAGTGGTTCTTAAGTTATGCAAACGTTTTCCAGATCAATGCACAAAAATACAGAATTCTGCACACAACTTTTAGGATTCCTGGATTCTGTGACGCCATTCAGGTTAGGATCCCAGGTGAGGAATCTTAACTGTAGTTGGCTACAGAGGAAACCTCTCTCCTTGTGAAGTATCAGCTAGTATGAATGACAGGTAGCAGAGAAACTTCACGGAACCATTTCTACTAGCAGATCAGAGTTCTCCAGTTTTCTCCAGGGCATTTCTGCAAACAGGTATGCGGCCAGAAGGGGGCAGTGTGCCAGCACGAGCCAGGGATGAGGACAGACTCATGGTACAGGAGTCCCTTGGTGAACAAGCTGGTTTTAGGTCAGCCAGGGAGTACCCTCCACGAAGCATTCCAGGCTTCCAGGCTCCCCTATGCCCTGTAGTAAAGAGGTGCTGGCTTTTTGTTTGTTTTTTGCCTTTAAATAGAATTTCTCTTTGAGACTTTGGGGCTACTGCAAAGAAAGAGCTGATATTATCCTACTGGGCAGTCCAGTGTGGAAATGCTCCCAGACTTCTGGGAGAGTGTTTATGGCAACAAGTGAGGCCACCCTCTAACACCACCTTGTGTATCAGGGCCTGGCTACTTGGTGAGACCTTTAACACAGGGTTCTCAACATCAGCAGTGATATGTTAAATTCCTTAAAGAGGGTCGCATTCTAGTTTCCATTAACTCCGGAAAGTTCTTTCTCCTATGAGATGTACCTACAGGAGGCCATCTGTGACACTGACAATAAAGGGGTCTTTTTCACATAGGCAAAACCATCTATTAGATGAATGACCCAGGAGTAGGCTAGCAGGGACTCTGTGGTCAGGGAACAAGGTGTCCCCGTGAGCTAAGATATATGGGGGCCGGCCCCGTGGCTTAGCGGTTAAGTGCGCGTGCTCCGCTGCTGGCGGCCCGGGTTCGGATCCCGGGTGTGCACCGACGCACCGCTTCTCCGGCCATGCTGAGGCCGCGTCCCACGTACAGCAACTAGAAGGATGTGCAGCTATGACATACAACTATCTACTGAGGCTTTGGGGGAAAAAAATAAATAAATAAAGTAGTATGTAAGATATATGGAAATGTGCTCATGCGTCACGGTACAGGAGATTCACCTGGGCTCAAGGCCCAGCTCTACCCTTACAAGTGTAACAGGAATATGAACTTCTATAAGCTTCAGTTTCTTCAACTGTAAAATGGACATACGAATATCTACTTTAGAATTATAGGAAGAGGGCCGGCCCTGTGGCTTAGCAGTTAAGTGCGCGCGCTCCGCTGCTGGCGGCCTGGGTTCGGATCCTGGGAGCGCACCAACGCACGGCTTTTCCAGCCATGCTGAGGCCGCGTCCCACATACAGCAACTAGAAGGAAGTGCAGCTATGACATACAACTATCTACTGGGGCTTTGGGGGAAAAATAAATAAAATTATAAAAAAAAAAAGAATTATAGGAAGAATCAATAAAATAAATTACCTTAAAGACAGCCTCAGAATCAAGTCTCAAAAATTATCTTTGAGGGAAAAAGAAAAATAAGACTTTCTCATCAAAAGAAGAAAAAAATAAAAACATCTTTGAGAGATTTATTTGAAGTCCTGAAAAATATACTCTTCCTCCAATCCCCTACTCCAACAGCAGGCATCAGTCACATACCTGGGGTAGACAGTCAGGGCGAGATTCAAAGATGACCAGTAAAACTCCAATTGGGACAGTCACTTGTTCTAGTTCCAAGTTTTTGGCAATTCGGGTCCGGCGCAAAACACGCCCCACGCTGTCCTGTGAGGAGGCTGCGATCTGTCGCAGACCGATGGCCAGGCTGTTCAGCTTAGACGTGGAGAGGCTCAAACGTTTCAGCAGAGGAGCTGCAAGTCTCCCTGATGGGGTGTGAAGAACACATGATAAAGTAGTAGACCTGGACAGGCTATCGCTGTTTTACTGAATATGTGGCACTGTGTTAGGAATGGAGCTTACGGGGTCTCGGGACGACAATGACATGCCATTTATACAGCTTTTCTAGGGGAGCTGTTTGGCAGTATACATCATCATGTAAAGGTGTGTACACCAACATCCTTTGTGCCAGCAAGTCCAGTTCCAGAAATTTGTCATTTGCTTGAGCAAACTTGCATGTAATGAGGATATTTGTCACAGCATTTTTATAACAGTGAGAAACTAGATTCTACCTAAAAATTCAGATAATGGGCTACAATGCAGTTGTAATAAAATATATAATTATATTATCTATATAAATAATATATCTATATGTGTTGATATGGAAAGCTGCACAGGACATAGTTTGTGAAACAGGCAAATTACAAGACAGCATTTAGGATACGCTCCTATTTATCAAATATTGCATATACACATGTACACAGGGAGATGTCTGGAAGGCATCAAGAACAGTGATGATCTCTTTCTCCATTATTTTAATTTTTTATAACAAGTGAATTATTTTTGTATTCAGAAGCAATAAAGATGTTTTCTTTTGAAATAAAAACAAATAGTTATGGTAAGTTCATATACAGAATTTTCTTTAAATTTAAATACAATAGTATGCATGGTGTGATTCTCTCTCTCTACACACACACATATCCATATATATATACAGTATATACACTCAGGAAAACCATTTGGAAGCACAAATCATTACTATGGTTAACGTTGAGATGAGATGATGAAAATGAAAATTTTCTCCTTTTTTAAATAGTCACAAGCACCAAGATAAAATAATAAAAACATTTCTACTTTGGAGGGAAGGAATCAACCTTATATTAAGAAAAAGATTAAATCATCATTCAACCAACCAATTATATCAATTAATTTTCTTCATGTGTTAAAAATGAAGGTTTACTGATAAGTGCAAGTTAAATGTTACATTCTAGTTTTTCACCTTACAATGCATGTACATTTTCTATATTACAAAAATTATTTTATTTACTACTAAATATTCCATTGCATTGATACAGCTTAATGTACTTAACCACACCTATGCTATTAGACACTCAGGCTGTTTCCAGTTTTCAGTGTGATAAATAATCCTGCTCTAAGAATCTTTACATACAGAGCTGTTTTCTCTTCTTGAAATATTTTCTTAAGATAAATTTCCTGAAAGGGGCTTACCAAGTCAAAGAGGATTACCATGCTCACGTATATCCAGGACTTCGTTCTTAAGCCATTGTGTGTCCTTGTGAATTTCCAGAGAGAGAACTGGAATCGGAAGTCAGAATTCTGCCAACAACTAGCTGTGTTACCTTGAACAATAGCTTTAAGCTCTGTGGGTCTTAATTCTTTTACTTTAAATTAAAGAACTGGAAAAGATATCACCAAAGATTTCTTCCATTTCTGAAAATCTATTTTATGACTTTCTAATACTGCAAAAATTCAAAAGACCAGATGAAAACTCTAAAGGAAGTTCCAAAGCAATGACTCAAAAACCTTTTAAGGAATGAAAGTAATGTTGATGAGCCTAGCAAAGTTTCTTTGAAGGGAACACCACTAATTTGGATGTTTAATTTAAGGCACATTTATTCAAGAGAAAAGGAAATTCAAAACCCCATAAAATCAACCCCCATTTTTTAGAGTGGAAAAGACAGAGAATTAGGAAAAGGGAGAGAAAGATTTAGGGCCTACCTGACTCTCTACATACTTAGTTATCTGCAATGTGAGTTCAGCCATGTCACTCACTCTACCACTAGCACCTCAAGGGCATTTCTGGATGGCACCTGTCGCTAATTCTTGGCAGACTACACACTGATTAATTACGAGATAAGCTCTCTTTCATCACAGGCTGCACAAACTGTTTCTACAACTATTTTATATGCACAGTCCATATGGGTTTGAATCCCAAATCTGTCACTGGCCATATGGTTTTAGGCACGTGACAACTTCTCTGCTTCAGTTTCCTCCTCTGTAAAATAGGGATAATAAATAGTAGCTACCTCAAAGGCACTATATTGTAAGGGTAAAATGAGATCCTGTCTGTAAGGCCCTTAGCATAATGCCTGGCAACACAAAAAGGCCTCAATAAATGTTAGCTGCTATTAGTGGAATGTCTAAAATGGTAGGGTCCTCAATCTTTTTCTTTTTGTCCCTAAATTGCCATAGTAGCAATCGCTCATGACCTGTGGGGAACAGAAAAAAGCCCCTTTGGAGGGCTGTACTAGATGACCTGGGAAAGGGGGTGGAGATAGTATGTATAGTTTGAAAAAGCCCACTGAATACTAGCAACCTACCCTCAATAAAAATGATATATAATATACAATTTTGTTCTATATCAATCTCGTCTTTAGGCAGACTGTGATATAACAATTATCAGTAAAACAAAGGACAAAAATCAAAGCACAACCCTCCATAACACTGACCAAATCGCCTGGTCGTTACCTTCTGCCTCCTCCAAGTCTTTTTTGTTGGCTAACAGGATCTCATCACGCTGGTCTGTCAACAGATCAGCCAGATGATAGATAATTTCTGCTCTCTAGGAAGAAAGGTACAACATTAAACAAACATATTAATCCAAGAAGAATGCACACACTTTTAAACTTACTCTTCTGACTGTGCCAGGCCTTGCTCCTAAATCCAAGGCACCACTGACTGAAGTCTCTTTACTTTATATCATTCATTTCCCACCACGGGTCCCTCATTTTTCCTTCCTATCTCACTACTAATCTCTCTCTACTTCTTCTTACTTTTCTTTCTCTTCTACCACGCCTGATTATGATGATTAGCAAACCATGGCTCAGTGGTGGGGGAGAGGGCATGAGACAAGGACCAGCACTTTGAATCGGCATGATACACCTATCTCCACATATTTAATATCACTAGCCATATAGTTTATTTCCCAGGTAAGTTTTTGCATCTAGTTTTTCTTTTTTAACAATTATTTATTTAACAAATTCAGTCAAAGGGAAAAAATCCAGTCCTGGATGTTTGAGGAGACCCCAATCCTTACCCACCTAGATGAGGAAATGGGGCAAATCAGTGTGGTGATTACTGAAAGAGTAAAAGGAAGTAGTCTAAGAGACAAGCTAATGTCTCTCCTTTGCTTTCCCTTCTCTACTTGTAATTATTTTAAATTCTCTTCTCCTTTCTCAGGCCAAAGTACTTCCCAGAAGAAACCTATGTTCATCACTCTCAAATACATCCCTAACAACACAACCCTTGGGAAGCCGGCCCCCAGCTTCCACCTGACCTCCTTGCATTTCCAGACTCATCGTGTCTGCTACTTCAACTGGCTGACTCATTACGGACAGGGCAGGGCTAGGACTATGGAGTAAGCTCTTGAGCTTCCATTGTATAGGTAAGTTAGGTGATTCAGATGGGCAGAGATAAGCAATTTTCCTAAATTCCCATGCCCAGTATGTGGCAGGATGAGGGAGCCTCCTTGGTCTCATCATTTTCATATTTTTGAACAAAACATCATAGTGATGAAAAACTATCTTAGGCCTCAGCGTACGAGAGACAAAAGGGAAAACAGAATTTAGACAAAGAAAAAAGGCAGAGCAAACCTGAATCAGACTTGTAACTCAGATAACTCTGCGGGACACGAAGAATAAAGAGGGAGACAGCAGGCTTAACTGTACACTAAACCTCACAGCATGACTCACTCTGAAAACTAACCAAACTGTCAGCTAGGTTATTACCTGCTCAGGTTCCAAGGTGGCCAACATCCTTCCTCCTGATCGAGCCATTTCCCCCTGCTGCTCAACCGTAGGGCCTGCAAGGACATTTGCAAACATCCGACCACGGTCAGCTTAGTTCCCTCTCACTATCCCAGCACGTGCTCAGGTTCACCGCACACACAGAACGAATGCTCAGTGTCTTGGTGTGCCCGCTTCTCATACAGAGATCACTCTGACCAAGACAATGGCGAAACAATATGCCAGATTAACTCAGGCATAAACACAAGACACCTGTCTGTATTTCTGGGGTAGACAATATAATTTATGTCTTCTAGAGTTCTTTTCAATTCCACTTTGGCTTATATTTTCTAATGCATTTGCAATTCTGAATGTAGATGATAAGGCAATTCAATCTTCGTGAACACTTGAGAGTATGTACCGTATCTTATGCATCTTTGCACCTCTAGCATTTATTAGTACCCAGCATCCAGCATGGGCCTAGCAAATGTTTCTTGAGAAAATGGATGCTTACATTCTTTAACTTAGTGATTTTAGAGAGAATAGAAGGCCTAGTTAGGCAGATTAGATAAATTTTACAAAAGCAAAGCAAAATCCAATTTTGCAAACAGCGTTCAAAATAATACCATAATTCATAGTGTGAGCACATCAATTTTGTGATCTCTATTCCCAGAGTGAGAACTCAGTCTTCAGTTCCATCTAGGCCATGGTGGCACTAGCTATCATCCACAGACCACGGGACTCTGTCACTTACCTGCAGGCTTCACTTCGGAAAAGAAGGTGCCAACTTTCTTTCCCTCCACGATGTCTGTGATGACGTGCCCAGATACCTTTGGGTGGGTTCCGTTGGCAATAACCACAGAAGTGCCACCTTGCAAAGCCCAGAGGGCTGCTTTCACCTAACGGGAGAGGTTAGATCCAAAGATGAGATTCAGACCTTTGCAGATTCTAGTCACTCACACTTTAAACTTGCAAAAGGTATAAAATAATGTGATACTGAGCAATTTAAGTATATGCAGGAATGCTCTGAACAGCTCAAAACTCAAAACATGCTCAGTCCACGCACTCTTCCCAGCCCAACCCTGGCATGTGTTGTTGCCTCAAGATGAACCATCTGCCCTTTGTGCTCAGCATGTTCTGTCAAGACTCTAGCACTGGGACTCGTAACTTCTACATTTGACTTATTGTGCCTCAACTTAGTGTCCAGCCTTGTGTTTGACCAGAGTCTGATCCTGAGTACTTTTAGTTTTTGTAAATGCTGTCACCATCTCTGCTTATTGCTATGTATGATGCTGTACCTTAAGGGTATAACTTCTTAGAACAATTAATGGGAGAGAAGAATTTTTGAAAGATTTCATCAAGAAATGTTTGAGCCGATAACAATCGAGGATTTATGAATTATGAAAAATAATAGACCCTGCCCTTGAGGAGTTTACAATATGAACACACTTTTTTACAATATTAATAAAACGAATTCACACACAGACATCACTAAATATAAGTGCACAACATGCATTAAACCTGTACAGGCATACCTTGCAGATATTGCAGGTTCAGTTTCAGACCACCACAATCAAGTGAATATTGCAAGCGAGTCACAGGAATTTTTTGTTTCCCAGTACATATAAAAGTTACATAGTCTATTAAGTGTGCAATAGAATTATGTCTAAAAAATGTACATACCCTTAATTAAAAAATACTTTATTGCTAAAAAATGCTAATCATCCTCTGAGCCTTCAGTGAGTCACAATCTTTTTGCTGGTGGAGCATCTTATAAAAAATGCAATATCTGAAAAGTGCAATAAAATGAGGTATGCCTATATTTAGATATGTGCATATTTAAGTATGTATGTGCCTAGTTTCCAAACAATTAGCCCCCAGTTACAAAAGTAAAAAGGATAAAATATTGTTTTGGTTTTATAATTGTTAAAGGAGGTAAAGGCACCAGATTCTTACCTTGGCTTCCATGCCACCCATTCCTACTCTCGACTTGGTTCCGAATGTGACAGACTGCTGATCTCCAGGATAAAATATATCAATGAGCTTTGCATCATCTGAGCCTGGGGGGCTGTCAAAGAGGCCTAAAAAGTAGGCAAGAGTTGGTAATACTGCTTTAATGGAAGGGAATCTCCCGAAGACAGACCTCCCCGGGCACCTGCCAACCATTCTGTACTTGACTTATCCAGAGGAATTCTGCTGTTCCACCAACTCTAACTGGGAAAGAGCACAAGGGATAAGTGGAGTCTACTCACACTGAGAAACAGCTCCAGGAGGACTCATCTTATATACCTTTATAACTTTAAAAGGCTTAATAAATGAATGTTGGCCAGCATCAGAGCATGGCCATATCCTTAGTACAAAATTTATCAGCCCTGCCCATAGTCTACTGGGAAGCTGTCCTCACCTCTGCTATCGCAATTTATGATGCTGAACCTTAAGGATGTAACTGAAAAAGACGAGTGACTGTTACAGAAATAGCACGGCAGCCGAATACTGTTTAATGTGACTATTTCCAAGTGGGATGAAATGAGAAACAGGTTCACATTAACTCTCACAGTACCCTTTGAAACAGTCACTAATTATACCCTCCATGTTATTATGGGTAAGCTGTTGTGAAGGTTAGGCTGGGTCAGCAGAATAGCACATGACTCTTGGCATTCAGTCCAGATTTATCACCACAAAGTCTATGTCCCTTTTATAACTGGGTAGACTGACATAAAATGAGAATTACATGAAATGTTATATGTATACAAGATTAAAAATCTTCACAATTTCACTTTGAAAAAGAGTGAGCTGGAACCCTAGAAGAGGAAAAGAGGGGCCTGAGAAAATGAAGCCATGTCAATGCCTTAGAGGGACACAGACAAGGAAGAACTGCCCCTGGTCGGGGACTGGCTGAAGGACATTTGGGCAGTGATGTGTTAAGTTTAAGTGATGTTTTAAGGTTTTAAGTTGCTGCTTTTCTTGTGCTAAAATACACCTCTCTGTTCCACTTTTCGAAGCCTTTAACACAACCCTGCTATCCACATCCTCTCCAGGAGAGTAAGGGAATCAGGAGTGAAGAAATCCATGTCCAGTGTAGAACAAACCACAAGCAGCAATTGTAGGGAGAGAAAAATAACCTCTCACAACCTCTGTCTGCCTCAACCCAGCACTCCCCAGCTCCCAGGAGTTAGCGTTGGGTTCTTCTCAGAAGGCACTGCGCTATGAGATCACAGGCTTGGATTTTAAGGCTGTTTTGGTTTCATACGATAAATACTATGGGCAAGTTTGGAAAACCCTAAGCTAAACTTTCTCCAGAGACGTTGAGGGATTCCTAGCATTCTGATATTCTGCCTACTCCTCTTTTTCCCTTATAGCAGCCTCTTGACTCCGCCAAGAGCATATTTAAAATTCTGATATTGTTCCAAAAATCAACATTCAGTGGACAACTAATCAGAGTTAAGAGCACAAGTCTGTCAATAACCGATTTTCGTGTTTGAGGCTGCATTAAAACTGTTTACTAGAATCTAGCTCAAATTAGGTTTTATATATTGATCTCTCAAACTCATACCCTTTACACCTTGCCAGGCATTATAGGAAAGAAGGAAGAGTGTAGATTTGTAAATTAAACAGATTTAGGTCTGAAAACAACCTCTTCCAAGTACTAGCTGTGTAACTTTGGATATACCATTCAACTGATGCAAATTTTTAATTTCTTCATCTGAATAATTGGGCTAACATACCTACTTTCCAGGGTTGCTACAAGGATTGAATAAATTGACACTTCTAAAGCACCTAGCACAGTATCTGCACATATTAGAAACTTAAGAAAAATCTGTTGATTAACCAAAATGCCTTCTTCTCCAGGGTGGCTCACTCTTACCCCAACTAAGCTGTTCTTGTTCTGAGATTTCAAATTTACGGTGAATAAACATTGTATCAACACAGGTACAATGTCTTACAGGTAAAGACACTGACATGTGAGAATGACATCTCTGACATTCCACATGGACAGGAGACAGATCAATTCATCCGCATCTGCCCCCGCCTGCACCAGACAGTCCCCTGCCCTTACTTTATACTGCGAAAGCGTAAACTGGAGAACAAGTCCTGCCATGTTAACCTGCCTTGGATGTGGGCTGGGAACTAAATAGGTTTTTCTGACCTCCTGGGAATGCAATGGGGGACTTTGGGATCCTGTAGGTTTAGCCTATTTCAGACACAGCTACCATATTCCTTACGGGTCAAATGTAAAACGGGAACAGCTCAAGGAAAGTGAGAAGAGTGAATGGAGAGCCAAACTGGGGCCAAGAGGGGCCCCTCCACAAGGAAGGGGAAAGCAGGGAGAAACATATAAGTAACACATAAGAACATGGTGGCCATACAGTCTGGATTTTCTGCAGTGGCTCCAATTTAAAATAATCTCTCTCATGATTTACATTAAAAACTGAAAGTGATCAAAACCACAATGAGCTATCACTTCACAACCACTAGGACGGCTATAATCAAAAAGGCAGATTACAGGGGCCAGCCTGGTGGCATAGTGGTTAAGTCTGGTGCACTCTGTCTTGGTGGCCCAGTTCACGGGTTCAGATCCCGGGCTCAGACCTACACCACTCATCAAGCCATGCTGTGGCAGTGACACACATACAAAATAGAGGAAGACTGGCACAGGTATTAGCTCAGAACCACTCTTCCTCAAGCAAAAAAAAAAAAAAAAGAAGATTGGTAATGGATGTTAGCCCAGGGCCAATTTTCCTTACCAAAAAAAAAAGGCAGTTAACAAGAGGTAAGTGTTGGTGAGGCTGTGGAGAAACTAGAACCCTCAAACACCACTGGTGGGAATGTAAAATGGTGCAGCTGCTTGGCACCATTTCATTTCTGGCACTTCTTCAAAAGGCTAAACATATAGAGAGTTACCATGTGATCTAGCATTTCTACTCCTAGATAAAATAAAACACATGCTCACACACAAACTTGTACACCAATGTTCACAGCAGCATTAGTCATAATAGCTCAAATGTCTATCAACTGACAAACAGGTAAATAAAATGTGGTGTATCTATACAGTGGAAAATTATTTGTCAATAAAAAGAAAGGAAGTACTGATACATACTATAACATCAATGAACCCCGAAGACATTGTGCTAAGTAAGAGAAGCCAGTCACAAAGGATCACATATCGTATGATTCTATTTATATAAAATGTCCAGAACAGGCAAATCAACAGAGACAGAAAGCGGATTAGAGGAGGCCCAGGGATGGAAAGTCTGGGGGGAAAGTAAGGAGTGACTGCTAATGGGTATGCGGTTTCTTGCTGGGATGATAAAAATGTTCTAAAATTGTGGTGCGGGTTGAACAACTGTATGAATATATAAAAAATCATTGAATTTTAAACTTATATCGGTGAATTGTATGGTATGTGAATTATATCTCCATAAAGCTGTTATAAAAAACAAAACTAAAGCACCTGGAAATGACGACATTTCAGCATTCAAACCCTATCTCCCAGACTTGCCTACTTGCTTTTGTCATAAAAACCCTGTGTCAGACCAAATGGCTTGGAAAATAATGGTCCATAGTGAAAAAAGATCAGAAGGACTCAAATGAAGAGGGGAACTCACGCTCACACATGGTAGTTAAGACAAAGGCTGGCTGAAAGGGAAAGGCATTACTTTGTACCTTCTACATCTGAAAGAACGATCAAGAGGTCAGTTTTCATTTCCACGGCCAGACGGGCAGCCAGGCTATCATTATCTTTAACACTAATAACCTGGAATGCAGGTAGAAAGTTCTATGTGAGTAGGCTATGCAGTTCAACAAGAAGTTCCCAGAAGCACTCAGCTAGGCTCTGGCAGGCAAAATTAACGACCCTGCGTATGTGGATGACAGCTCTTGCAGGCCCCTTCTGTCTGCAAAACACCATGCCCACCGGCAACCCCCTTTCCAAACATGCACCCTTCCATCCACTGACGTACACAAGCCATGCTCACAGCACTGTCTTAAATCACTATAGCACCTCACCCTGTTGAATGAAACCCCCTGACTTCAGAAGAGCTTATACAGCCGCTGCTCCACGATGCCAGCTTCTCCCCCAATTTCTCCACCTTGTTTATGACCAACTTCCAGTGTTAGTACATGCAGCATAGCGTAGCATTAGTGTCTCCAGCATGCTCAACCCTTAGGAATACTTTACCCACATTTACCCCCTGGAGATCACTATTGGGCTCAGCTGGGGGGACAACAGCATCATTTGTGTTGATAATGGGGACGATGTTCATTCGGAGGAGCTCATGGAGTGTCCCATTGAGGTTCCGGCGCTTCTGCTCATCATGGAAATCCAAATTGGTCACCAAAATCTAAAAGGATTAAATAGACCACAAACACAGAAGGGAGGAAAATGATGAACTTCTCAGGAACAGCATACAAAAGATGCTAACAGTAGAGGAGTTAAACTTTAGGCTTCTGAGATCCCATACAGATTGGAATGGAACACACATCTTTGGATGCTCACCCAATTCTTTTAGAGATGGTAAAAAAGTTAGAATCACTTGGAAGATTTATTTAAGGATGCTCAAGACTACTTGCAAAAGTATTTTACTCCTCAGAAAGCTACCAAATCTCATACGTTTACAAAATTAAGAAAATTAATGTATCTACTTTAGAGGGATATTGGGGAAGTATGACTGCCATTAATTTCTAAAATATCTTTGCATCCCAGCATCTGATTCAGTATCTGGCCAGAGTAGGCACTGAAACATCTGGTGAGCAAGTGAAGGAATGCTTTACCCTTCTTGGAAAAGCATACGAGACAAAATGGAACAGGGCTGTGTTGTCACTGTTCTTGCTCTGCAGCCGACCACCACAGGAGTCAACACAGACTGTGAGCATGTGGGATTAGTCTGAGAGGTTTATGGAGGTGAGTCTTTAGTCACAAACTGAAAGAAAGGCTGGAGATAACATAAGTTTAGGGGAGGGAATGAGTGCAAGCTGCTCAAAGGTAAATTGGAGAGCTGGGTATGGGACTGGTAAACAGCGCTGTGTCCTTGCTTGAATCAGAGTATCAGGCAACCTTTACCAGGAGAGAAGGTAAATGGGGATGATAGCAAGAAACGAAATAGTAACAAACCCTAAAGATCATGAATAAACGTTTCAATGAAACACCTTTGATGTTTAAGCAGAGGGTTCTTGCGACAGAGGGCAGGCTGAAGCAGGGAAGGTTGGAGGCAGACGGTCAAGAAGGAAGGTACCGAAACAATCTAAGCGAGAATGGTTAAGTCCTGAACCAGAGTCTGGCTATGGTAACCAAGAAGACAGCAGCAGCCCTAAGGATAGATAAAATGTGGGTGATGAAGACAAGATGGTCTACCTACAAAACTAAGATAAATAATTCACTCATTCATTTGATAAAAAACTTATCGAGCACCTCTGAAATGCCTGTACTAGCTGTTGGGATGGAGAATAAAAATGTTGGTGGTTTGGGGAAGATGAAATGGGCCGCACTTTTGTAAGGGGAGATCATGAACTCCTTTTCAAAAAGTTTAGTCCTATAGAAAACAGGACTGGGCCGAAGATGAACATACAGATTCTAGTCCCGGAGGTGAAAGGTCAAACAATAAAAGTAAACATGCGTGTGTAGGGAGGAAAGCAGGAGGTATAAAGGTCCAGGGAAAATACCTGTTGCTCAAACCGTTTAACAAACAAGAGCGAGGAGACAAGAGCCCTAAGACAGAAAAGTGTGCTTGGAGAAGGGCGATCTGTTAAGATGCAAACCAGTTTCATTTCTGTGAAGAAAAAACAAGCTGCTCTACTTGTTGAAATCTTTAACCCCACACGTAAGTTACTGGAGATTTCCAAAAGCCTCTGATAATGGTCTTCCAAACGGGATTACTAAAGAAAACAAGGAACCACAGGATAAGGTGCAAAGGGCAAAAATTTCTTGTAGATAAGATCACTGGAGAAGGCAAAGGTATGGGAGAAAAGGGGCCCATGGAAGGATGTTTATTGGAAACTAGAGGGGACAGAGCTCTTTCACATCAGTATTAGTGAAACCAGTGGCTGAAGTGCAGTGACCTTTAATGCTCCTTTCATTAAAATCAACCAATCAACCAACGAAAAAACCTCAAAAAGCATCCTACCTGGGAAAAAAACAAAATAAAAACATAGTTTCTGTACTTAAGTTTTCACACCTGGCTCCAGGATCGTTTAAAAAATTAGAGATTAAACTTGTCATTGGATTGTGGAGAAGAGAGCTGATAATAAACGGTGACAGAAATTGAGATTTCTATATTTATGCTAAGAGAAGAAAATCTAAGATTACAGGGAGGGGGTCCCAAGCCAAGGGCAACAGCGTGGACAAGTCCATGCCTTTCGGTTTCAGTTCACTTACTAAAGGATACTCGGGTACAATACCAGAATATCATGGTGAACAACAACTGCGAAAATGGAGAAATAGAAAAAGCAATAGGAAATGAAAGGGTAAAACCTGAAAGGATGTATATACAACAACACCTGTGTAAAATAACTTCTGTGTAAATAGATCAGAGGCAGCAAAGGAGTGTGAAAATAATAACTTGAGGAGTTAGATTTTTTCCAGTTGTTTTGTGAAGTGACTGTTCGGTTGTTTTGTGATATTTAGATTTCTATTTTGTGTGTAGCTGTATAGCTGATTAAAAATACAACTGAGGGCCGGCCCCGTGGCTTAGCAGTTAAGTGCGCGCACTCCGCTGCTGGCGGCCCGGGTTCGGATCCCGGGTGCGCGCCGACACACCGCTTCTCTGGCCAGGCTGAGGCCGCGTCCCACATACAGCAACTAGAAGGATGTGCAGCTGTGACATACAACTATCTACTGGGGATTTGGGGGGGAAAAAAAAATTTTTTAAATACAACTGAAAAAATTCTGAAAATTCAAGTAAAAAAGAAATATGTAGAAAGAAGGTTCTAGAACATTCAGGGGTAACTACTCAAGATTTATAAGTTCCATGACGACTGGGATCATGGCTGATTTGTTCACCACAGTATCCCCAATGCCTGACAGACCCCTTGGTACACCACAGGTGCTCAATAAATATTTGCTGAATGAACGAAAAACCAACCAACCACCAGCATTCTTCTTTCCCTTCAATGCTTAATAGACATCTATTATATAAGGCAACCAGGTGCAAAGAGAAGCAAGCCACCTCAAGTCAAAGAAGCCAATGAAAGAGGCATCTAACCTTTCTATCTTCAGGAGAAGTATTAGCACTTGCAGAAGTCCTAAGAGTTATCAGTATATAACAAGAGCTAATCATTGAGACTGTACTGTGTACCACACAATATACTGAACACTCTTCATATATTTTCTTAGGGAACCATTTCAAACACCCTCTCAAGTAGGCACTGATATTATCCTCATTTTTCAGATGAAGAGACTGAGGCACAAAAAGGTTAGACTTCGAGACTTTCTCCAGACCTCTCAACTAGTAAGTGGTGAAGATGAGACTGTATCCTGGCAGTCTGGCTCCAGAGCCCTGCTCATAACCCCCTTGCTCCATGGGAATTACCCTCATGGGTCACCCACACACCCTTGCAAAGGCCAGCCTCTCACCTGGGCAGCACAGATGCTATACTGGGTAAACATGGCTTCATACAAGGCCATCAGCCCACTCTGTCCGGCAGCTGCGCAGGCTCGGGCTTCTAAGACAGGTATTGCCTGTAACACACCAACAGACAAGGTGTGGTTGGGAGTGAGGGAAAGAGACCTGAGAACCCCTATTACTGGAGGGTGGGGGGTGGGGGGGCAGCAGCACTCACCATCTCTTTCAGCTGGTTCTGCCCTGAGTGCAGGGCCTGCCGCACGCTCTGAGACAGAAGGATCTCATGGCGCAAGCGCTGCTTCCCAAAGGCTACGGCTCCACTGGTAACCAGCATCATCTCTCGGCCTTGATTCTGCAGCACTGACACCTGACATCGAGGAAGGAAAAGGCACCACAGGTCACTGTAATATCTCTTTCTTCTTGTCACAAGAGACTCAGGTACAGTGGGCTAATCAGTGAATCCCAAATGCTGGTTTAAGACCAGCACTGGGCTGGCTCTGGAAGAATCACCGAGGTAGTTTGGTAAAAATACAGATTCCTACATGCTTCCTCAAATCTGATAAATAGCTAGCAGACAGAAATCAGAAGTTTTTAATAAGGGGATTCTGGTGTATAGCCAGGTTTGGCATCCACAGGACTTGAAGGTATCTGGAGGAGCCTATTATGCAGAAGGCCTAGTTGTTTCAGGAAATAAAGCCCAGAACAGAACTCTGGAGCTAGGAATTGCAACGTAAACTTAGCACAGGCACCTCAAATTCCAAGACATGACCTGAGGAGATGAGGCTGTTTTGGGGGCATGTCTGATCCCTATGGGTTGCCTTTGGCTAGACCAGGGAAAGACCCTGAAGATTCAAGATGCAAATAGAGCCAATATTCCTAACCTATCCATTCCTCCTGATGCTTGAACCCTACAACCTAGCTCAGGAACTGACAAATAGCTGCGATAAACCATGATTTAAAAAAATAACTTTTTATCATAGAAAATATCATACTTAATCAAAGTGATAGGAATCACATGATAAATCCTCATATGCTCATCACCCAGCTTCTAAAACTATTTCTCATGGCCAATTTCTCACTCTCCAATATTTCTCCAATAGCCCCAGGCTCCAGACATATTATTTCATCTGTATATATTTCAGCAGTAATTGCTAAAAGATAGGGAATATATATAGAAAAATCCACAAAACCATTATCATCTAAAACATTTCAATAATTCCTTAATATCAAATACCTAGTGTCCATGTTTCCCCAATTTTTTTAGCTTGCTCAAATTGAGGTGCAAATTAACCTCACACATTGCAATTAATTGAAATGTCTCTTAATTCTCTTTTAATCCACAGGTTCCACCTCTATCAGTTTTTTTTCCCCTTGCAATTTTTTGTTAAAGAAACAGGGTTGTTTGTCCTTTGGGGTTTCCCAGGCTCGATTTTCCTGCTTGTGTCCTTGTGGCATAGTTTAATGCTGTACTCTATATTTCCTGTAAACTGCTGTTAGCTATGGAGGCTTGATTTTATTGTCAAGAATTCTTTATAGGTCGTGGTGTCCAACGAGAGGATACACAATGCCTGGCTGTCTTTCTTTCTGTGATGTTAGCAGTTGTTGATGACCACTACCAAGATCCATTGATTCATTAGGGGCAAAATGCTGATATTCTAATTCATTCATTCCTTCTTCATTTACAGGCTGGAATACTTCCATAAAGGGAAACTTTCCTTCATTAACTATTGGGTTACCTTGAGATATAGTTCGTATATGAAAGGCAGGATAGGGCGGCCCGGTGGCAGAGCGGTTAGGTGAAAGGCAGGACAGATGTGTGTCTCTTTCCCTTTATTTACCAGTTTTCAAAATAACAAGTAGGTTCTCTAGTATCCTCCAAGGATGACCAATGAGGTTTTTCTTTTTTTTTTTTTAATTTTTATTTATTTATTTATTTCCCCCAAAGCCCCAGTAGATAGTTGTATGTCATAGTTGCATAGCCTTCTAGTTGCTGTATGTGGGACACAGCCTCAGCATGGCCCGAGAAGCAATGCGTCGGTGCGCACCCGGGATCCGAACCCGGGCCGCCAGCAGCCGAGCTCGCGTGCTTAACCGCTAAGCCACGGGGCCGGCCCCCCAATGAGGTTTTTCAAAGTATCATTCTGAATTCATGGATTTAAACATATTTCATGTGTTTAAATTCATTGCAGTAATTATCTTTATTGATGTTCAGATCTTCCCATCTTTGGCCAGTAGAAGCCACTTTAAACTGGCTCTTGAGTCCATCTAACATGAGCAGATGACTTGGACAAGAGAGCTGACTCTACATGTTAGTACTGCCCTGATCTAGAAAGCCTTTCCATGAGGTCCATAGGTGTCCCTAAAAGGGAAGCTGGTGAACTAAGCAAACCATTACCTGGTTCTCCCCACTGTTTTCATCAAGTTTCTCCTCTACTCAAAATCTTCAATCCTCCTTCGAGATTGAACCCCAATTCCTCTATCTGGCTTCAAAGCCCTGCCTAATGGAATAATGCACTTTATCTCCCATTCTCCCTGAGGAGCCCGCCACCACTTCTTTCAAGCTCACCTCCTTCCTGGCCCACCAGCATGCCAAACTCATTCCTGTTTTTGTCCTCCATCTGGAATCCACTCATAGTACCTTCCATTCCCTAGAACTCCTAGGTTGCACAACTCCAGGTGCACCATTCACACTGTGCATTTAGCAGCGTAGAACATTTCCCCACTGTTGGTACAAATCCTACCAGTCACGAAGGCCGAGTCCCAGCTCTCCTAGGAAGCCCCAAGAATAACCACACTCTCATCTGACTTTCCCATCTCTGGACCCCATCTCAGGACTTTCAAGTCCTGTGGATGCCAAACCAAATCAGGCACTGTCATTTGGACCTACTGATTTGGATATTTACTGCTTTGAACAATCACCTAATGGTTCTGGGAGTCCCAGTTCTGGCTCCCCAAGGGCAGAGACAACAGCCAGAGGTCTGTTAAGCCCCTCAGAATGTAGTCCTTTGATAAATATTTTTTAAACTGAGTTGATCTGATGGACTCAATTTGGGAGGCAGATCTGATAATAATTGCTTAGTATAGAAAATATAAAAAGAAAATCCCATTAAGTTTCAGGTTAGCAGTTTCCTAATACCAACTCCTCAGTAAAGTTGCTTTTTAAAAACTGAAAATAAGGTTGTGGAGGATAGAGCTGAGATACAGCTAGAATGGAAAAGCTCTGGCTTTATCTCCAGGATGCCTTGGATGTCTGGTTTATGACCCTTGGTCAGAGGTTGGCAAAATACGGCCTGCAGGTCAAATCTGGCCCACACTTGTTTGTAAATAAAGTTTTACTGGAAGACAGCCAAGCTAATTCGTTTACGTATCGCCTATGGTTGCTTTTGTGCTACAATGGCAGAGCCGAGCAGTTGAGATAGACACCACATAGCCTAGAAAGCCTAAAGTATTTACTATCTGGCCTTTTACAGAAAAAGTTTGCTCATCCCTGCTCTTGGCACAGACAAATGTAGTGGGATTTGTGATGTGATGTTTAAAGTCCAAAACTCCTGTGTCGACCCTCAAGGTCAGTTTCTTTACTGATAGTTTGTGGTCAGCCTGGCTTGACTGCATGGCCAGTGGGGCATAAAATCCCCTCTGGAAACTTCTGCTTTGAGCCTTTCCAAAACCAAGATTCACCGCACTGATCTCTTCATGATTCAATCTGGAGACAGAGTGTGGTCCCTGTGTGAATAAAGCCCCTTGGGGGCTTGTGCATAGGATGTCTCTTAGACCCCCAATGCTTGCTTACTCTCTCTCTCTTGCTGCCTTGTTTCCTTTGCCTTTAAATGAAAGCCTTACATGAGTATTCTCTGTGAAGTCTGGTAAGTCCTTCGAAATATCTGAACTTGGGAAATCTTTGCAACGATAGCTCATATTTATTTCAAGGTTATTGGGCTAATTAAAAAAGAGAAAGCCCAGCAAAACAAAAAAAAAAAAACCAGCTCAATATTTACACACATCCATTTGGGTAATCAACCCTGACTACATATTAGTCACCTGGGAACTTTAAAAACACAGATGCGGGGCCGGCCCGGTGGTGCAAGCGGTTGAGTGCGCACACTCCGCTGCGGCGGCCCAGGGTTCGCCGGTTCAGATTCCGGGCGCGCACCAACACACCACTTGTCAAGCCATGCTGTGGCGGTGTCCCATATAAAGTGGAGGAAGATGGGCATGGATGTTAGCCCAGGGCCAGTCTTCCTCAGCAAAAAAAGAGGAGGAGGATTGGCAGATGTTAGCTCAGGGCCGATCTTCCTCACAAAAAAAAAAAAAAAACAAAACACAAATGCTTGAACCTCATCCCAGAGATACTTATTAAATGGTTGAGTGTGAAGCTCAAGCATCTCTAGGCCCCTCAGATGATGCTAATGTGCAGTCAGGATTAAGAATCACTGACCTATACTAAGCCTGAGGGATGAACTGCATGAAATCAACTCCTTGACACCCCGTTTGCTTGCCATGGGATGCTGTCTCCCATTGGCACCGACATTGAAAAAGGGAATTTTCCAATTGGGTTAAATCTATCACACTCAAATCAAGATTATTTTTACAAGCTGATAAATCTGAACTGACAGCTTAAAAACCCTATTTTATTTTAGTTCAGCAGAATTTTCCACATCTTGGCAATTACCTGCTCGACAATAGATGCCAGGCGCCCCAGGGCCAGGCCACATTCATCCCCTCGGGTCACCACGGCACTTCCCAGTTTCACCACGATCCTCTTAGCATGCTTCAGCTCACTGCGGTGGGCAAAAGACTTGCCGTGTGTACGACTGAGGGGGACAGTGATAAAGGGGATGTTGCTCCAAGAACGAACATGTCTGGTGGCTGAAGTCTGCACACGATCTGTAGCCCCCAGATAAAGTCAAATGCAAGGAAAAAAAAGAAATACACAATTGACGTCTCAATAAAAGAAAGTGCATGCACAATACTAACCAGTTTAGCCACCAAAAAATAGCTTTATCATTCTTAACTGAGTAAAACCAGTACATCAAAAGCCATGTGCTAGCATGTTCTTCTTCTGGTATTGTGTGGAGTTTACACCCAATAACAGGCCACAGGTACACTCAAACACTGCTGGTGAAGAGTTTAAATGAAACAATGTTTCCTGAAGACATGCTGGCAAAATATATCAAAGGCCTTAAAAATGTTTACATCTTCTGATCCAGCAATTCCATGTTCAGAAATTTATTCTAAGGAACTAATCAGAGATGGAGACAAAGAGATTTATCAGAAGGCTGTTCATCAGTGTTATTTATAATGTCCAAAAACCGGCAGAAGAATTAATTAACATTTTTAGAATTTTTAATAAGAGAGGAAAATGCTCATATGTTAGTTTCATATACATGTCTAAATGCATAGAAAAAGATGAAGAAAATAAATCAAAATATTAATATTTTATCTCTCGATGGGATTATGAGTGATTTTAATTTTCTTCTTTATTCTTGTGTAGGTTTTCCAAATTATGCAGTAAAAACACATTGTTTTCATAATCAGAAAAATGTGTGGTTTTTAAAGAAACCAAATCACTATAAAAACAGAGTGAGTCTGATTAGCAAAGACAATAAAAAGCAAAGTAATCAGTATGAGTAATAAAAAATCATAACTAATCCACCCACAAACTTTCTCTAAGATGGCAGCATGAATCCAGATGCCTATAACAAAGATAAAAGAAACCAGATAGCTTTCTGAAGAAAAGTAACGTTGGAGTCAGACTTTTTCCTTCTCTCCCTTTGGACATCTGCCCCTAAGCGATCCTTTCCTGACTCTTTTTTCTTGCAATGCTGTGCAAGATTTCTAGGGAGGCAAAAAAAAAATTGATTAAAAAGCTGAAAATACATCTGCACAAAGCCAAAAGTAAAGCACTAAGAGCTGAATGGCACGCACTGAACCCCTTCACCACTTCTCATGGGTCCAACTCTTCCTGCTGGCTGCTTACCAATTACCCATTCGCCCCCTCTCTCACAGATTAACAGACCACCCAGTTTTAGCTGAGCAAACTGCCACTAGTCAAAAGACTACATTTCCCAGCCTTTCTTGCTCAGCTAGACACGGCCATGTGACTAAATTCTGGTTAATGAGATACATGTGAAAATGTTATGTGGGACTTCTAGGAGTTTCCTTAAAAAGAAAAGCGCTTCCTTCCTCCCTTCATCCATCCTGTTGCTTGGAACCTGGAGCTCAAACATCCATTTTAGACGACAAGAAAGCACATTAAGAACTGTGAAGCAACAAGAAAGCAGTGGCATGGAAGCCTGATGGTTTCACCGGGCTGCCCGGGAAGCCCTGGACTGCCTCTCTTCTTTTAGGACACCAGGCTTCTCTCAGAAGAGAGAGAAATAGATTTCTATCCTGTTTGAGCCATTACTATGTTGGGTTTTCTGTTACACACACCTGACCTAACTGTAACTGATACAGAAGGAGAACTGCATGGGCAGGGGGGCAGGCGAGGCCTGGACAGGAGAGGAGAGGCTGACTGTGGACGTCAGCTGTTCATGGTGGTCCCACTCACAGCAAACGGACCTTCGCTTGGTGGGATTCTCTAATCGCAAGAAGCAAGACAAGATGGGTAACACAGGTTCTCAGCAGGACTAAACTTTAGGCACTTTCCCCTTCACGAGTTCTTTATGTATCATTACAGGCAAATAATAAATATTGCAATGAATTACTAAAGTAATCATTCCAAGCCACCTTTTGGACCATTCTTCTATAACTGTACTGTTACAGAGTAGCTTCCTCTACTTGAATCAACCATTATCACCTCCCTTTATGTTTATAGACAGATTTCTCAGAGCTTCTCTAGACCCACTGCCTCTGTCTCCTGACCATTGACCATTGACTCCTTTTCTAACAATAATCTTGCTTCTATCCTTTTTCTCTACATTGTGACAATGGTGGGTAAAGCAGGCAGAATCTTATTCTCATGCACCAGAAGATCACTGTGTGTTCTCCTCCTTCTCTGCCTTCTTCACGCACAAATCTTAGAAAGAACATTTTTAATGAAGTATTAAAGAGTTCTTTCTTTCCTCTTCTAAATAACCATTTTTTAAGTGACTATGTTTCAGGTTGTGGAGATACAAGAAAGATGATATGGTCTTTTATTTTTACAGTAGGCTTACAGTCTAGTTCCTGGCAGAAAGCTGCTAAGTCCATCATCTGGGATAGAACTGGGGCTTGCCACCTTTGCTAGACCCACAGGTGGATTGTCTCTTCCTGCAAGAGGAGTCCCAGGGACTAAAGGACTGGTTTGTTGTTGGGGCTAAGTTTCATAGAAAGCTCCCTTTCTTCATTTCATCAATATAGGTACCCTGGCTCAGTCTTCAGGGATATTATCCTAAGCAACATATAAACCTAAGTCTAAGCTTAAAAGTTATCTGTAGATAACTTTTAATAGTTCTGGCCTCACTGACCTGATAGAGAGAGGGGTGGTGGAGGGAGAGACTTACTCCTCCAAGGTTTGGACCTTGGATCACCCGTGGCTGTGTGCAGAGCTCGGAGCTATATCCAAGTTTCACTTATACCTTTGGACTGAGTCTGCTGGCCAGTTATCTCTCCTGTCCACTGTAGGGCTTGTACTGTCCTGGAAGGGTGCTGAGCATGGGTGGGGCAGAGTAAGAGGGCACTTTACGGACACAGGTAGTGGCAAGTACGTCAGTCCAGGTGATCAAATGGCAGAAACCAATCAGATTCCAGCAGGCCAGGTGAGCACGAACAAGACTCCTAATCGACAGTCTGTATCAGCAGAGGAGGGTGGCACGGCTTGGTGCCAGGCAGTCAAAGGTCATTTGTGGCTGCAGGCAACTGGGTCACAGCAGATCAGGGCTGACAAGGTTCAAGAGGAGGTAATAACTATGAACAAGGTTTCAAGCAGGTAAAAATCCAGTCATGCCCAGTGGGTTCTAGCACAAAGAGAGCTCAGTGGGATCCAGGGGTTTTCGAGTTTCTTCTTCAACAATGCTTTCACCCTCCCAGATTGACCTTACCTTTCCTGTGGACATTTTTTGTGTTCTGCAGTGTGTTATACTTTTTAGCGTCCATATTAAGAAGTGAGAAGGCCTTGATTAGCTAGGAAAAATCTAAGGCTTCTGGATGGGTAATCTCTTCCCATCTTCTAAGGAACCTTTAGGCTCTAAGTCCCAAGGAAAAGCTACCTCCTCCTGGTAAGCATACGGGAATACCGAGGTGTACGTGTGCGCACATGTGTTGGGGTTGGGGGGAAGGTTGTCCACAGTCCTCAAAAGTGCCATGGATCACACTCCAAGGGAGAAGCCCTTTACCTTTTCAGCATCAGAGTCCTTGTGCTCAGCAATCAATGAGGCTGTGTTCCAGGCCTGAACAAGAAGGGCCCTGATATGACTTGTATCTCCCTTCCTGGCCTTCCACTTCCCTCCGTGCTTCTACCTATATGCTTTCTCACTTTGCGTTTTTATTTCTTTTCTGCTCTTCTGCTTATCATGGTCAGTGAACACAGGGCCCCAGACTCCAGAAAAATCTGGATACAAAAAGAGAAAAATCTAGGGACAAGAACAGAAAGTGCCTCCTTTTGTCAATGAGGCTATTGAACGTAAAAAATAATAATATCAACAACAAGAATATTGAAGTGAATACTCACTATACACCAGGAGCTGTGTTAACTATTCACACACCTTCTACAGAGGTGGGGGCTACACAAAAGGAGCCAGATGGCCTGGGTGGGAAGCTCAATCCCTCTGCGTACTTGCTGTCACCTTACTGACCTCATAAGGTTGTTGTGGGGGACCAAAGGAGTTAATGCACGAACAGGGATGGGCACAAAGTAAACACTCAATAAACCTGAGCTCGTATTATAAAAAAGTGTTAGCTATGGCTACCACCATCACCATCGTCACCTTACTGAATTCTCATGAGTCAAGCCTCATGAGTTAGGTATTATTTTGAGTTAGTTATTACTATTATTAGCCTCATTTTATAAATAAGGGAATTGAGGCCCAGAGAAGTTAAGTAACTTACCAACATTATCAGATTGCAAAAATGGCCACAATACTTGAAGCTTCTCCCATCAACAGGTGGAGTCTATTTTCCCACTCCTTCAATCTGGGCTGGCCCTACGACTTGCTTTGACCAATATAAGGTAGCAGAAGTAACACTGCATAAATTCTGAGCTTAGGCCTCAAGGGGCCTTGCAGCTTCCATGCTTGCTGTTCTTGGGAACCCTGCAAACACCATGTGAAGAAGCCAAGGACAGCATTCTGGAGGATGAGAGACCACGCGGAACAGAGATGATCTATCACCCCAGCAGAGGTCCCCCGGCCCTCAACAATCAGCCCTGAGCCAATGTGAGAGCTGACTCAGACACAGAACCACTGTACAGCTGAGCCTGCTCCAAAATGCCAACCCATGCAATTGTGACCTAAATCCATAGCTACTGTCACTAAGTTACTTACTAAGTAAGCAGGAGAGCTAGTTTTCAAAGCCAGGGAGCCTAGTTCCAGACCCTGAACTGTTTTAACTGTTATACTCTTCTTTATAGGAATGGGAAACAGAGGATTTTCCAGAGGATGATAAGCTTGATTAGTTGATAAGCAAGTCTTCTTGCAGTAAGGTTTGGAGATCAGACTGTTGATAAAATTTAGGTGTTATCAAGGAGATAGCCAACTCAAAATATCGTAAACAGCCTTTCAACAAATGGTGCTGGACCAACAAGACATCCATAGGCAAAAAAACGAACCTTGACCTAACCATCACACCTTACACAAAAATTAACTCAAAATGGATCATGGACTTAAATGTAAAACTATAAAACTTTTAGAGAAAAACATAGCAGAAAATCTTCAGGATCTAGGGCTACACAAAGAGTTCTTAGATTTGACCCCAAAAGTACAATCCACAAAAGGAAAAATTGATAAATTGGACCTCATCAAAATAAAAAAAACTTTCCTCTGTAAAAGACCCTGTTAAGAGCATGAAATGACAAGCTACAAACTGGGAGAAAATACTTTCACACCACATATCTGACCAAGGACTAGTATCTAGAAGAGATAAAGAACACTCAAAATTCAACAGTAAAAAAACAACTCAACTAAAAATAAGCAAATGACATTTCACTGAAGAGGATATACAGATGGAAAATAAGCATATGAAAAGATCTTCAACATTATTAGCCATTAGGGAAAAGAAAGTTAAAACCACAATGATTACCATTATACACCTATCAGAATGGATAAAACCAAAGAGTGACAACATCAAACGCCGGTGAGCAAGACAAGAAAGTGGATCATTCATACATCGCTGGTGTGAATGTAAAATGCTACAGCCACTCTGCAAAAACAGTTCTGCAGTTTCTTATAAAACTAACTACCATACGACCCAGCAACTGAACTCTTGGGCATTTATCTCAGACAAATGAAAACTATGTTCACACAAATGCTGTGCACGAATGTTCACAGCACCCTATTCACAACAGTCAAAAAACAGAAACAACCAGACACCCTTCAATGGGCAAATGGTGACACTAACTATGGTGCACCCATACCATTAAATACTGTTCAGTAATAAAAAGGAACCAACTGATACACACAACGACTTGGATGAATCTCCAGAGAATTATGCTGAGCAAAAAAAGCCATCCCCAAAGGTCACATACTGTATGATTTCATTTATATAACATTTTGAAATGATAAAATTATAAAAGTGGAGAGCAGATTAGAGGTTGCCAGGAGTTAGGGATGGGGGGGAGGGGGATAGCTAGAAAAGAGCAACTTGAAGGATCCTGCAGTGAGGGAAATGTTCTTATCTTGACTCTACCAATGTCAATATCCTGGCTGAGATACTGGGAGAATTGGGTAAAGGGTAGAAGGGATCCTTCAGTATTAGTTCTTAACAACTGCAAGTGAATCTATAATTATCTCAAAACCAAAAACTTAATTACAAAAAAAGTAATGAACAAAAATAGCCTGTAAAAAATTTGGGGGGAATGAATATAGGTAACACTTTAAAAATTTTTTTTAATTTTGAGTTATTTATTTATTTGACATACAAAAACTGTGCAAAATTAAGGTATACAATTTGACGAGTTTGGAGATAAGCATGCACCCGCAAAACCATCACCACAATCTATGCCACAAACCTATCTATCACCCCACGAGTTTCACTTTATTGATAAATACAAACACTTAGAACATTTCACCAGTTGGCTGCTTCCTTGCTTACTGTCTTTGTCCAATTCTGCCAAAATACATTTTTCTCTCCTTTAAAACTGTTTGAAACATACTTCTACCAAACTTCCCACATACTTAGAAGTTTCCTATGATACATACGAGATCTGGAGAGACCTGGAGATTGGACCCAGGGCAGGAGACGCCGGCCGAAGGGCTGGACCCCAGAGCGGTAGACTTGACTCAACATGCTGCGACGTGGCCACGGATCAAAGTACCTGCAGAATGCGTTTTTAAAAAATGAATAATGAAAAATACTAGACTATTTTATTTTCCTCCACTTCCCCACACTCAAGTGTAAAAACTTGACCCGCCTGCTTCAAACTCCTCTGTCTAAAGAAAAGAGAGAAAAACAAATGGCTCCTTCTCAGGCTCCAACTCTACCTTTCCTTTCCAAGGATCATCTTACTTATTATGTAAGCAAATGGCAATTAAGGATTATGAATATTTTCAGTGACAAAAAAATCTTTAAGGTATAATGTTTACGTATTGATACTAAATCTTCACAATTCCTATACCATTACGGAGTCGCCAACAGATCAAAACCAGCTCCAACATCCAACAAGCAGGCACTTTCACCTTCCTGCTATCACCTCCCAACAGAACTCTGAAAACCACATATTTGAAATGTCAGCTTGAGCCTTGCTGACACAAGAAGAGGGAGGAAAGGCAAGAGGCTGCTGCCATGTCTTTCTTCTTGCCATCCACAGGAATCTGAAGCACACTCTTGCATCCCTGGGGGGCAGTACAATGCCTGCAAATGGCGGGCATTTTAAATGACCGTGGGCACATCAATGAAACAATGCATGAGAACATGGTGGTTGTGGGCATTTTCCCACCCTAGGTCAAACTTGAGGCTTTAAACACAGAATAGTTTATTTTACAAAAATGTAGGGGGCTCCTTCCCATACATACACAGAGAATAAGCCACTCATTATTGCACCTTTTATGCTATGGGGACACTGCTGTTTTCACAAGATAAGAAAAATACTGCCCCTTGTTTGCTTGCAGGCTTCCTTTTAACTTTTGCTCTATGGATTGGTGGATTTTTCCAACTCTTTTAAATGTGCCTCAAAAGACTAGCATTTAGCCCCACAGTAAAGAACAACAAGGAGTGGCGTGTATTGCTCTTCAATTTATACTGCAAAAGGCACAGAAAGGGAAGAGAAGAGATTGGCAGGACACATCTGTTGTAAAATATATGGCATCTAATAGGCAATAGAAAGTGTTAAGTGCTGTCTTTGTTGACTTCAGCGTTTCTGACAGTCTGGAAGATCACAAGAGAAAACTATTTGCATAAAACTGAAGCATGATATACGGTCTACGTTCCACAGTCTATGTGCACTGCTTACATAAATTCCTTCGCTAACTGTTGCTAAACAGTTATTTACATGTGAATTCTCCAAATACCCAGAGAAGAGCCAAAAGGGTAAAATAATCACATAGTGACACTAAAATTCTAGTTCCATCTCTTTCACGACCTTCCTCAGCAACTCTAGCATTCAAAGTTGTATATAATCCTACAGGTTAGCTTTTAACTGGCTGTGTTACTGATGCTTTTCCCAACTGGATTATAAACTTCCCACTGACAGCATGGCAAATTGGAACATGGATTTTGCTTGGGCAGATCTGGGTTTGAGCTCTGCGCTTGCTAGCTCTTTGCCTTTTGGAAGGTTACTTAATCTTTCTAAGCCTCAGTTTCCTCATTTGTAAAGCAGGGACAATGACAGTAAGGACCTCATGGGATTACTGTGAGAATTAAATGAGACGATGCATGGAATGCCTGGGTACAACAGATGCTCAATAAATGTCAGTTTTCCCCCTTCTGTGTTTTAGGCACTAATGATGTCTTGCCACCGTTTCTTTATTTCCTTCAGGAGCTGTCACAGGCACACAGAATTCAATAAATATTCTCTGATGGATATAATCACAAATTATACCTATTGACGGTTTACCCCTCTCTTATCTATGAGTAACTGAAAGCTCTGAATGTTTAAGGTCACTAAGTCATTATTAGGTTGAAGACTGACCTAGAAACCAAGCCTCCTGGCCTCTCCCCTGTACCACAGCGCCTTCCTTGACTGACTCCTCCCTCACTGCAATGGATGGTTCATCCTGCCAGAGCTTATTATGCCCTCAAAAGAGCAGACAGCTGATTCCAGGGAGCTAAAGGTCTGTGTGTCCGAATGTCTGTCTAGACTCAATGTCATCAATTGAAAAAAGTTTCCATGTTTTGACTCAGGGCGTTTCTCAAGTACCTCTTTATAAGTTCAAACAGAAAGTCCTTATCTTACTGATTTGGACAGAGAACTGAACTTTAGTCCCAACAACCCTCCCCGGAAACACGGACTCGGTATATGGCTCACCACTTAAAAACAAAGACCCAGTGATAAATCTCACCGCCTCAGAGAGCAGGGGATAATGGGGGGGGGGGGGGGGCGGATCTTAGTGCGCCCTGAGGCGCCACAGAACTAGAATTCACAGACCGTATGCCATACTGCAACGTGAGCGAACTCCCAGGCTGCGGGGGGCCTGGTTTTGAGCACAGGATCACGAACGTCCAGACGGGCCGCGGGTGACTACACACACAGGTCCCTGAGAGTCGGCGTGTGGACAGTTACAAACCAGGGTAACACACTACCACCGATGCAGGTGCACTGGAAGCTGGTTCCGGACTCCCGGACCGAGAAGGGGTCCGCCGAAACTTGAAGCCTCCACCTGGACCAGTTCCTCCATTTGGGTGTACCCAAGGCAGCCAGAGAGTTCGGGTGCCCGAAGCCCCCGCAGACCCTGGCGTCTCCGCGCCGTGGCCTATGGGACCGCGCCGGGGCCTTGCAGCGCGCCCTGGGCGGCCTAGCCTGCAGCCATCCCTCGGCGCACGCCCACACTCACTCGCGGGCCGGGCCCTGGGCCCCCGGCTCCTGCTCGGGTGCATGCCCGCAGCTCCCTCGGTCGCCCGCGGCCTGGCGCGCACACCTCCCCTCGCCTCGGCCGGGCGCCGTACCAGCCCCTGCAGAGGCACCAGCGCCTCGCCATGCCTGCCGCCATCCCCGCCATCCCCGCCGCTCGCCGCGCACCCGCCTCACCGCCAGCACCGGCGCCGCCACCGCTCGGCCAAGCCGCCGTGCGCACACTCCACGCCGGACTGATTCTGGTGCCGGCTTACTCTCCTTTTTCTTCCGTCCACGTCGCGCAAGAAGACGTTACGTCAGCGGCGCCCGAGTAAACCCAGGCCGCCGGGCCTCCGCTGTTGACGTGGGGCGAGGGGCCGGCCCGCAGCTGCGCCGCGGCAACGGCGTAGGCGCCGTCTCAGAATCCCGTCCGCGCTCCACGTGGCGGGCCGCGCCCGCCGAGGCCGGGGCAGACGGCGGAGGTGGGGCTTGATCTCTGAGGGTGAACGTCCAGGTCCCAGGAGAGGACAAGGGCCAAAGAGAGTGTCCAAGAGCCGCCCCATCGGGTCTTCCAGAAGCAGTAAAGATGCCTGGATCCCTCATCTGCTGGTAGATCCCATAAGGTGTCGATCGTGTCGATCAGGATATCCCAGGCACACCTCGGAAATAGATTGGATCAGTTCACGCATATTTACAGAGCCCTCACTCCCGGCAAACTTCAGCTGTTTAAATGGGAAATTTTGGGCACTGTGATAAAATGATTTGCCCCTAGTCGTCTGGAGGTTTCCCCAAGGGTCCCAGCCCAGCTCTTATTCAGCAAGGGCACTGGTGAGAATATTGCATTAAAAATAGTTGTATTTAATCCCTGACAATTGGCACCATTCCAAAGGTGAATGCAGATCCACTCTTAAAATTATGGCTCAGACTCTCTCCCTCTTTCCTACTTGCTATGTTTTCCTCAAAGGGCACGTTCTTGCATAGGCACAAACATAGTGCTGGGCACATGGGCGGGAGCGGGGACGACTCGCAGCACTTGAGTGGAGGTCGGTGTCAGGAAGGCAGTCTTGCTCCTTCTGTGGTTGTCCCTGACAACGTTGCTGAGCCTATTTATTCATTTCCTCATTCATTAAAGATTTGCTACTTTATGTGCCAGGCATTCCCAAGGTGTGGAGGAAGACATTGTCCTCTCCCTAGATGAGTTCACAGCCTTATGGGAGACACAGATATGTGAGCAAATGGTTACAACACAATGTGAGGAATGGTAGAGGAGGGGGTGCCCGTGGATTCAGCCAAGTCTTTAAAAAGAGAGTAGACATTGGAATTGTGCTTTGAAGGACAAGCAGTTTCTCCTAGAAGAGGGGAGCAGGATCGTATGAGGAGGAGGGAATGGGAATATGCAGAGGCATGAGACACCCTATGAGAAGAGGCTGCATGTGAGACATGATAGGAGAGGTGTTTGGTTGCGGGGCCACCTTGCAAAAGGATTTCTGTGCCATGCTACAGATTTTTAATTTTTTTCATCCTCAAAGATACAGAACCATGACTTTTAAAGTGCTGGAATGGCATGATCAGATTTGTCAGAAATCAGTAGAGGGGTAGAACCTGGGGTGTAGAAGATGGGAGGTTGGTTAGCCTATTGCAAAGGCCCAAGTAAGAAATGATGGCTGAAAAAAAGGCTCCAGCAGAAGGCATGGGGAGCATAAAGGAGGGAGAGCTGACAGGCTTACTACTTGCAAGTGGGTGGGTGAGAGAAGAGGAGGGATACTTGCAAATCTGGTGATGCTGCAATACAGTGAGTTAGGAAATAGATAAGGGGAGCAGTTCTTTTGGGTGAAGGATGAGAACATGGAATATGTGTTAAGTTTTGAGCCCTTTGGGTTTGAAGTAGGGTGGCAGGTACAAAAGAAATAAGACTGCCCTCCAGTAGTTTCATCTGGTACCTCAGCTTTTAAGATTCTCACCACAAACTTAGAATAAATTAGGTAACTGTGGGGATAGCTAAAGCCACAAGGGACAGAGAGGCCTTGTCTACTCAGGAAGTCCGGTTCTGTTCCTAATGTGTTCTCAACCCACACATCACCTCATGGTAATTGCTTGTCTGCCTTCCCTGCTAGAATATAAGCTCCTGAGACCAGGAAAGTATATTCTTTGCACATAATAGACAATAAATTATTCGATAAATGAACTTAATTTCTTTGGGCTTAGTTTTCTTTCTTTTTTTTTTTTTTTAAAGTATTATTTTTTTTAAATTTTATTTATTTATTTATTTTTCCCCCAAAGCCCCAGTAGATAGTTGTACGTCATAGTTGCACATCCTTCTAGTTGCTGTATGTGGGACGCAGCCTCAGCATGGCCGGAGAAGCGGTGCGTTGGTGCGCACCCGGGACCCGAACCTGGGCCGCCAGCAGCGGAGCGTGAGCACTTAACCGCTAAGCCACGGGGCCAGCCCTGGGCTTAGTTTTCTGAAACAAGAAATGGACCAATAACACTGTTGTGTATTCATAGGGTTAAGAGGATCAAATATGAAAATCCTTTAACATTGTACATTTTCTATTTTATTACTGTCATTTTTATTACTATTTTACTATTAATATTCTACTCCACCAATAAGGAGAAAGGAGCGGGATATGTGACTATGGATTGGGAAAAATAAAAAACCAGAAATATAAGCTAGTTTTCCCTGCCACAGAAATCAAGGAAATAATTCAGCCATGGTATCTTTCCTGCATGATTCAAAAAAAAATGTGATTTTTTTTTTTTTATTGCAGGGATTTAACTTTTGTCTCAGCAAATGGAAATAGGCCTGGGTATGACCAGAAAGTCACGTAGGAAGTAGACTATAAGAATGCAGGTTTGAGGACTGCTTCTATATATGCTATAGAGTACTAGGTTTAAGTTATCTTAGTCTCAGGTTCTTTAATTGTTCATAACAGAAACTCATCCAAACAAGGCAATTTACTAGAAGGAGTAACTTACAGTCTCTAAGAGCAGGAGGTAAAATTGGATCTCATAAAGGGTGGGTACAAGGAACTGGAAGTTAGGAACTAAGACTTTCCTCTGTCTCTGGGTCTCTTATTTACACTTCTCTCTGCACATCTGCTTTCCCCCCTTCCCCTTTTAAGTTAGACTCTTCATTAGTGAATATTTGGTGGAAAATGGCTTCCTCAGCCCTAAGTTAGTGCCTTAGTTAATATTAACTAAGTTAATATCCTTAGTGCTTACTCCCAGCTGATAATCTTGGTACCAGTTCCAAATTCCTAGGAGAGAAAATTGTCCTGGCCTAACTTGGTTCAGGACTCCATTTCTGGTCTGGTCAGCTGTGGCAGGGAGAGGGGGGGTCATGCAGGTAATATGAACACCGAGGCTGGGCCCACCCCTTCAGCAGAGCTCTGAGTGATAAGAATTCTCAGAGAAAAGGGAGAAGGCTAGGTTGGTAGACAAATTACAAGTTGGCAACGATAGAACAAACACTTAAATGAAATCAGTTTCAGCCACAGTATGCAACATCACTTTGTAGTTTCACAAACCAGGCTGCACATCAAAAGCATCAGGAAAACTTTTAAAAAATACAGATTCTTAGAGCTCCCACTTCCTACCAGTGACTCAGAATCTCCAGGGGCAGAGCCGAGGAATCAGCATTTTTATAAAGCATCTCAGATTATAATGTGACTGGCATTTCAGAACCCCTGCTTTAAAAGACAGGCACAGAATGCTAAACAAACAAATACATCAATAGAAAAGGGAAGTTACTCATAAATATAGAACATTCGTTAATACAATAAAGAGGTTCTTTTTGGAGAGCAAATATTTTCTTCAAAATATAGATTTTTTTCTCTGATTATAAAAATCAGAAACATTTTTTTAAAAAATCCTGATTTTGGGGGGCTGGCCTGGTGGCGTAGAGGTTAAGTTTGTGTGCTCTGCTTTGGTGGCCCAGGGTTCACAGGTTCGGATCCCAGGCATGGACCGACGCTCGGCTTGTCAAGCCATGCTGTGGCGGCGTCCCATATAAAGTAGAGGAAGATGGGCACAGATGTTAGCTCAGGGCCAATCTTCCTCAGCAAAACGAGGAGGATTGGCAACAGATGTTACCTCAGGGCTAATCTTCCTCACACACACCCCAAAACATCCCCATTTTTGACAAGTTAGCCTTCCAGACTTTTTGTTTGCCTAAGTACGCGTGTATTTTTTGTTTTACAAAAATAGGACCACAGAGTATATGCCCTATTTTGTAGTCTGTTGTTCACTTAAAAATAGATCATGAGGGCTGGCCCAGTGGCGCAGTGGTCAAGTGCACGTGCTCTGCTTCGGTGGCCCGGGGTTCCCAGGTTTGGATCCTGGGCGCTTGTTAAGCCATGCTGTGGTGGCGTCCCATATAAAGTAGAGGAAGATGGGCACAGATATTAGCCCAGGGCCAATCTTCCTTAGCAAAAAAGGGCTGGCTGGGATTTCAATTTCATTCTATCCAAATTGTCCATATTCCTTTACAGTCAAATTTGCTCCTTAAATTGAAAACATGATAACAATAGAGACCTTTTGCGCAGTAAGTCAAATGGCTGATAACTTACATGTATAGATAAAGGGAGGGAACTAAGAAGACTGCATTGTTCTATGGATGGTTTAAAAATGTTCTGAAGGTCTGTTACAAGGAGAGTGACTAGAGATAAGATGACCATAAAATCTTATCTAAAGTACGTTAAGCAGCCTTGTAACTGGAAACTAATCAAAGTAGCAGAGGGTAGAGGGGAAAAGAACACTTATGGTATTCCTGCCTTGGAAGAGCAGAGGTGCTGATTTCTAATATAAGATCTCTATATGCTACAGTTTACAAAGGCACAGTAGGTCACAATGAGATACCATTTCACACCCACTAGGATGGCTAAAATAAAAAAGACAGTAACAAATGTTGAGGATGTGGAGAAACTGGAACCCTCATATACTGCTGGTGGGATTGTAAAATGGGGCCACTTAGAAGAGTAGGTTGGCAGTTCCTCAATAAGTTAAACATAAGAGTTACCATATTATCCAGCAATTCTGCTCCTAGGTATATACTCAAGATAAATAAAAATATAAGTCCACACAAAAACTTGTACATGAATATTCATAGCATTATTCATAATAGCGAAAAAAGTAGGAACTCAAATATCCATCAACTGATGAATGGATAAAATGTGGTATATTCATACAATGGAATATTATTTGGCTATAAAAAGGAATAAAGTACTGATACAGCTACAGAATGGATGAACCTTGAAAACATTATGCTATGTGAAAGAAGCCAGACACAAAAGGCACATATTTTATGATTCCATTTACATATGTCCAGAACAGCACAATCTATAGAGACAGAAAGATTAGTGACTGCTAGGCACTAGGGGGAGTGGGCAAATGGAAGTGACTGCTAATTAGTACAGGGTTTCTTTTTAGGGTGATGAAAATGTTCTGGAATTAGTGGTGATGATAACTGTGAATATACTAAAACCCACAGAATTGTATACTTTAAAGGGGTGAATTTTATGGTACATGAATTATAATTGGGATACAATTTTTCTGTAAAGGCACAAAATGGTTTCATAGCACTTGGGCATGGGGATAAGCATTTGAATAAAAGAATAGAGGGACCAGATTCTGAAGAGGACTCACAGGTTGTTGGGAGTGGATCAGATGTCTCCTACCCCATAATTTAGAATAAGTTGTCGTGTAAGTTTGTTTTTCTTTAAGAAGCCCAAACTGGAGAACCTAAATACTCTAACAGCTTTGTGGTCTGTTTTAGTACAGGTCTCCTTGGAAGCAGGGTTGCTGAATGACAGACTCTGGTGGGAACCGTGCCATCAGTGTCCCAGCTCCCAACTTCCCTTGTGCAGAAATCTCCCTTGTACAGAAACACTTCCTCCTTGTTTAGTAATAACTGCTGCAAGAACTTTACCACTTTCTTCCAGGGAAGTAGGTTACTTTCCAGGTACTTTGGAATGGGGCAAAATGATAAACCTGTCAGATATGGTATTTACAATTGGCATTTTCTGCTCATGAAGCAGGGTTTATTATAACTAAGTATAAGCTTTATTAAATAGCAATTTTAGATTCAAATCATTAATGTTGTGGAAAAATATAGACTATCTCCCAATTCTCTTTGCCTGGCTTTCAAGCACCTGTATAATGAGCGCCCATCTTAGCACCTATTTTGCCCATTCAGTGTTTCTATTACAGTCACTTTAGTCTCCCAACCCTCTGGTCCACACGAGCCTCTGGGCCTTCGCTCAGGTTGTCCTTGGCTCCTGGGATCACCCTCTCTCTCCCATTCACTCTCCCAATCCTACCCATCCTGCCACGTTCAGCTCCAATCCCACCACCTCCTCAAAGCTTGTCCCTCGCTAGCCTAGGCCACAATGATTGCTTCTCTGCACAAATGTGTCTCCTATGTCACATGCCAATCTTCTTCCACTAAATTGTCAGCTCACTGAGGGGCTGTATCTTATAATTCTGTGTTTCACAGAGTAGGTGCTCAATGCTAATTTCACTGGAGTTAATTATTCTATTATATCCTATTCTTTTTTATAAAATGGATTAAAAAATTTAAGACAATTAGATATAATGACATATCTTCCATCAAAATTTCGCCTTAATTACAAGGATGGCATAATTCTGCTCTAGGCCTAAACCTTTTTATGCTTACTGCTTTCCAAGTTTTCTATCATAATTCCCAACCAATTCCTCTTCACGAAAGAATGACAATAGGAAATTACTTTAAGCAGTTTTCTCTGCAAGCCAGAATCTCTTGAGTTGGTCATGCATGTAGGGCTCAACCACACCCACATGCACAGCCCTTTGTAAGCTGCCGTCGGCTTACGCTCAAGAATAGATTTCATGCTGAATTCACTACATGTAACGAGTAGGGGGTCTTTGGAGAGTCTTATCTCCCACATGGAGAACGCAACTATCTTAATTTGAATGCTACTATGCTATGTATGAAAATTGCTTTTTTTTTAACCTTACACACATAGAAAACTAATCATGAGGCAGACGACATGTCAGTTAACTTCTGTGTGCTGCTGGAATTAGTACAACGAAGCACTCAATCAGTTTTATTTCTCCTCACCACAATGGAGGGAAGGAAAGAGCAGAAATGAGTGGTAGGGTCATATGCTAGTAGAAAAGGGGGCTGGGATTGCACATTCATTTTGGAAACTGAGTAGGAATTGCTTTCCCCAACATGCCTTGGTAGAGTGTGGCCCAAGGGAGCGGGGAGGAGCCAGACAAAACATATAGGCAGCCGTTTTCTGTTCTGAACAGTCAGCTCCTCTCAAGTCCAGAGGGCAGCTATTCCCGAGTTCACCCGGGGGACAGCAGGAGTATGTTCCTTTTGATGCTGGGCCCAAGTGTGCCAGTGAGCAGATGGATGAGGTTTTGCAAACCTTTAGTCAGGCATAACACAACCTGAAGGGCTCCTCATGTTCTTCCCTGCTTGAGAAGTAGCGAACCTCGTGTACCCGGGGGTCTGTAGAGTCCTAAGCAGGGAGGTTTGATGAGTAAGATATTTTTGTTGCTTTTCTAAAATTCCTTCTTTCATATACAAAGATTCCTTCAGTTAGGTCCTCCATTATCCTAAGTGCTCTGCTCTGGTCATGAGCAGGTAAGGACCTATCTAACCAAGATAAGTAGGCTGCCTCAGAACTTCCCATAGGGAAAATCGAAATCTGATTCTTTTCTTTTTTTCACTCAGTCTCTAGGTTGAGAACTCCAAGTAGTAAGAGACACAGGATAAGGATGGGAGAGACTGAGCCTTTTCCAGAGTAGACTCCTCTGCTGAATGCCACTTTGAAGGGAAAGAAGAAGTCAAACGGCAATTTCCAGTCCATTCTGGGTTGGCCCCTTGGAGGCTCTGGCTTCTGGGTAATGTCCACAAAGGTGACAACAGTTGTCAAAGATACTTCTGTTACTTGTTGGGAATCCTGCAGGAAGAAAGTGCATGACAGGTCAGCGCTTGGTACCCATTCACATAGCCCTCCAACTTGACTCTTATCATTACTTTGCCTGAAGAAAGACCAAAACCAAATTGCTTAAGCAAGATATACCCTCTTCTCATATTGTTCCTATGTAGTTCTCTATCATATACAAGGAAATGAATTTCTTAGCAGCAGTCCACAACACCAGAACTGTGAGCAGTTATACCTACCTGAAGACTGACTCTAGCTTCCCCCAAACAGGGAGCTGCCTGATATCAGAGAGGCCAGATGGCAAAACTGCTGCTATTACATGCTCAGCAGCTTTACCTTATCAAATTCCAGAAGGCTCCAGGCTCTGAAAGAGTACATATGTACTAGTGGATGTAGTACGGGCAATTCTATTCCTTTTTCAATTGTAGAAAGAAATGTGAAATTTCGTGGAAAAAGCAAAGAACTCAATAATGTAAATAAAAACCCCATCAGACTCAGAAAATCTCAGGGTTAGAAAGGATCCTCCCAACCATCCACCAATTCAAGTCAAATAAAACAGATGCTCCCAGAAGAAGGGACCTCACCAAGCTGACTCAAGTATCTGATCTAATAGACATAGCTTTTGGTAGATATGGTTGCTCCTGATGACTGGAACATGTTTATCTAAAATAAATTCCCTTTGTTCTGACTCTGGGCTTACCAAGCAAACGTCTGATTATAATATGATAGTAAATACCTATCTTGTTGAACCAGAAATGAAGATTTTCTCCATTCACCTTCCCACACTCTGATGACATATAGTATCTGCTGTGGTCTTTGGCAACAGTAAATTCCAGGCTCTGGCAACACCATTTTGCCTGGAATAACCTTTCTAGGTACTTTTTTTTTTTTAATGAGTGTGGGGCCAGTGCTGTGATAAATCTTGCATGTCATATAAACTCTTTGCATTCTTCTTTTTTTGAAACAATGAAGCTCATGAGGGACTTGGCATAGAACTAATGTAAATTCTGAGGCACTGAAAGTACCACATACATTCCAAGGACAGCCAGCTTAGGCTGAAGCTGCAGAGGGAATCCTGATTCCAGCCAGGCATGGAAGACTGGCTGAGATGAACCAGACAAAAAAAAAATGGGGAGGCGTTTATTACTCAAAAGTAATAAACTTTCTTTGGTGTTTAACTTATGAAAGGATTTACTGTTAGGACTTTAATTTTTCCCTAGGACCTTTATACTGGGGAGAGTATACTCAATTTTTGGAGCAAATCTTTGTAGTTGACATTATTGAAACATGTTAATATTGTTGTTCAATCTCATTACAGAATGCCTGATGAGCTGTATTGGCTGGGATGGCTAGAAATATTTTGGGATGGGAAATAGAATAGGGAATGAAAATTTTCAGCCTTGGGCTCAGTGTTGTCTAGGAGTTGACTTAATTAATGTGCTGTTCTGATGCATTTCAGAGCCTTTAGGGGGAGAGCAAATTTTAAACTGCTTACTAGCAGTCCCAGAAGGATACCCAAAGCAGCTGTGGTTAGAATTGGGATAGCAGTCTTATGATGGAAGAGTATAGTTTTGCATTAGGAAGCCCACTGCTACACACCCAAGCCACATCCACCTACCTAGTGGTTCTTAGTAATAAAGCTGATATTGTTATCTCTTTTTGTCTGATTCCTTTAAATTGGTTTCACACTTAGGCAGGGAAAAGAGGGGTGTCATCAGCCCCTTCAAACTCCAAGATTAGGGAATTTCTGGAGGCTTGAGGTCAGCCTATAACCAGAACCAACCTCTAAGATAGCTATGACCCCAAGAAAGGAAACTTTAGGCCCATGTCTACTCAAATATATATATATATATATATATATATTTTTTTTTTTTTTTTCCCCAATGGCTGGGAAACCCTACATGATAAAGGTTTTTGCTGAGGAAGATTTGCCCTGAGCTAGCATCTGTGCCAACGTTCCTCTATTTTGTATGTGGGTCGCTGCCTCAGGATGGCTGATGATTCTGTACAGGTCGGCACCCGGGATCCAAACCTGTGAACCCGGGTGGCCGAAGCAGAGCATGCTGAACTTAACCACCATGCCACAGGGCCAGCCCCAAAAGTTCTTTTTGAACAGAATTATTTTTTCAGATTCATCCAGGATATAGGCTCATCAAGAGCTACTATTAGACTTAATTTTAAGAGGGCAGTGAAAATATATCTTCTCCCTATATATCTAAAAACTACTCCTATCCAATAAGAAACAGATACAAAAACTCCACCTTCACTGAAATGGAGAGACATCACATTATGTGAATACAGAAAGCAGATGGATGCAAGGTGTCACAGAGGGAAAAAATGCCAACCTAAAAGCCTTCAGAGACTAGAAGCAAGTGGACTTCTGTAGGGCCCTAAAAGACTCAGTAATAGGATATAACAGAGAGGCAGGGGTGAGGTAGGGACAGAAAATGGTTACTGAATGATACCTCCTCAATGCAATCAGGCGACTAACCCTTCCCCACCTAAACAAGAGACTGGACAGTTTAAACCAGAGAAATTCTGGATTTAGGGACGTTGGACATAAAGAAGGGCAGAGTAGGATTTAAAATAGGGAAATTATTCTGTATAATGAAATCTCTTCCCTCATCTAGCTCCAAATGCTCACAGATAGTCTTATACCCATACCGCTCAGTCAGGAGTCAGGAGGTCTTTTTTGGAGAAAATGCGCAGTTCCAGCAAAAAGACACAAAGATACTGACATTTGCTAGTTCCACAACCCCAAAAGCAACTGCACCTAATCAGTCTACAGTGAAGGCCACAAGTCAGTAAGTCTCACTCATGATCACAGAGCCTTCAGTCAGCTTAATAGCTTACACCTATGCTGGATACACAGCTAGAGATTGCCAGACGTGTGGGGGAAGCTTCTCACATTAAAGAGAAAAACTGTACCAAATAAGCAGAATAAATAAACTCAGAGGAAACAGAGACAAGGAAAAATGAAAAGCTGTTAAGATCTTCAAATATACACGAGAAAAAGATATTATTAAATGAAACAGAAAACAAGAAAGTGCTCTTAAATATTAAAAATGTGATAGCCAAAAAAAAAAAAAAATCAGTAAAAAGGTTTAAAGACAAGGTTGAGGAGGAGTCAAGATGGTGGCATAAGCAGACTCTGAACTCACCTCCTTCCGTGGACACAGCCAATTTACAACTACTCGTGGAAAAATTACCCCTGGGACAGAACTGAAAACTGGATAAGAGAAACTCCTGCAACAACGGACAATCCTAACTGAGGTAGAAGAGGCAGAAACTCCCTTCTGGAGAGAAAAAACACCGCCTTCACAAGCCGCAGCGCCTCACGGCCGCCCGGGAACAACCCACAGGTCCGCAGCCCTCCCTGGAGGCGCGGGGCCCTGAGCCGGGGAGCGCCCCCGC